GGATTTAGAAGGCGATTGGGCCAGATCTGGCCCCCAGGCCTTAGTTTGCCTACCCATGATCTATGGGCTCCAAGGAAGGCACCATGTTGGCAACCCCTGAGAGGTTTGTTTTATTGCATCTATACCTCACCTTTTCCTTCAAGAAAGCTCAATGGTTCTCCCCCTCCTCTTTTAATCCTCACAACAAACTTGTGAGTTGGTTCCAGATCTTTTCTGGGGAGGGGTTCTTGGGCAGATCTCCCTCAGCAGTTCCATCTCTTCACTGCTGCCATTTTTATTTCCTCCTCAGCACTGTGGCCACCTCACTTCCCAGTAGGGCTGGACCCAGGGGAGAAAATGGGGCACTTCTCCACCAAACTCTGTCTGCCCATAGCCAGCCCCCACCCACCTGCCTCCTTACTTCCAAGAGGTGGCACTGCCTGTAAAGCTCCCTCCTCCTTAGTCTCAGTGTTGCCCCTTACAGAGCAGGGAGGAGGTTGGGAACAAAGCTCCAATGAACTTGCTCTGCCTACCATTGGTTCTGGCTCCCCCTACTGTTGACCTCCCAGCCTTCCATTCCACCAGCACCAATGGGCAACAGCCACCACTGGCCGGACCAAGACATTTTGCTGCCTGAGGCAATTGTTTGTATACGTAAGTATCCAAGGCCAGCAAGCAAATGAAAAATCAGCATTTCATTCAAGGTGTCCTTTAGAGCATCTCTTGTGTGTGGATTATTATCGCCAAATCCTCCAATTCTGTAGTCCTTGTTCTTTGATCTCTTATCCATATATCCTTCTCTTGGCAGCAGAAACAATAGCGTAGGCTGGATTGTAGCCAGAAACGCTTCTATATATGCAATGCCTAGCAGGAAAATCTATGTCAGTCATCTGAGCTGAAAAGATCATATAGGATTAATTTCAAAACGAACAAAGCGAGATTATTCCTAGCAGGATTCCTAGTAAATTGGTGCAAGTCGTTTTCAAGACAGGGTCGTATAACTGAATGTCTAGCAAGAAAGATTACATAAAAGTGGAAATGCAGCTTTTCCTTCTGGAGAACAAAAATAACCTGGGCAGAAATTGGTGTGAAATTATTCGGGGGTGGGGGGTGTTTGAAAAAGTTGGTGAAATAATAAGATGCTGTATTGTTTATGGAAGCCATCCAGATGCTGAATTTATTTTATCACCACATGCCTAATCCAGTTCCAAACAGAACTAATCCTTGACTAAAAAATCCTGGCATAGCAAATCCTCCTCTTTTTTTGGCAATAAGTACTTATTCACAAATAGCCTTCAGGACTTCAAACAAAAATAAATGGAGAGTTGCAAGGAAAAGAGTATTACTCGGTTCGGTGCAGAGAGTATTACTTTAAAGAAGAGTTCACATTCAAACATAATCCTTTCATCACATGCACCACACATGGAAAGTCATTACATCTAGTGAGGGTGTAAGAGGCAAAATCTGCCTGGCAACAGCGTTCTTCCCTTCTATCAATGATTTCCATCTGTGCTCGCTGGTCACTCTCCTAAATCAGCGTTAAGGCTTAGTACCAGACTTGCAATTACTTCGCTGGAAGCAGATACCTTTGTGTTAGTTCAAGCAGAAGGATACACCGAGAAACTCTATTTCTTTATATTTCAATTCCGTGTCATCACCTAGGTTGAAAGGATCATGCCGGTTGAAAAACCAAACACACATAATTCTTCTTACTGCAGAATCTTCATATTAAATCCCCCCTCCCAGTTCTGAAAAAGATTAATCCTCCCAACTCTTCGCCCCATCAAACAGCAGTTTAATCTCGCCATTTTTAAATTGCATTAAGGCTCTTTAATTGTGGGGTTTTCAAATGGATAGGCTACCATTTCTGTGGGGCAGAACTCTACACTTACAAGCCTGAGTTACTAGAGAAATCCCACCAGAAGAGGGTGGGCAGAAGGTAATTTGCTTGCCCCCTTCTCCCTTCAGCAACACTCTGAGTTAGCTCCACCCAATTTTCAGGGAGCCTCTTTCCCCCTCGGCCCATCATACTACAGCTCACCCTGTTCCGGATGGTCCTCCTTGGGACGGACTTTTTCAGAGAGGGGGAAGGAGGACTGGGGAAATCACTTTCTGCCCAAACCTTTCTGCTTCTCTAGATCTAAATGGTGCATAGAAGAAATAAACAGGATAATAAACTTGGTTGATTTCAAATCATCATGGAACAATGAAAGTAAGAAGGTGATATTTCAAATATGCAAAGCCGGTGGTGTTTTTCATTTCCTAGGCCAATAACTTGCCTATTGCTGATGTCTCCCTAAGTCACCCATGGCATCCAACATGTAGGAGCAGGTTGCCATTTTGGATATAGTCCACAGGGGAGATTCCTATGCATAGCAATGAACGCAGAGTCTTCAATAATACACATGTACAGGTCTCTGAAATTAGATTCCAGGAATAGTTTGGAGTTAGATACCTTGATAGTCAAGTAATCGATCCCATTGAGGTCATTTGTAGCCTTGGGAAATGCCACAAGAACCATAAGAAAGAAAGGTTATTAAAGACACGGGAAACTGTAAAATGTAATTAAATTTTAACTGCTTTGTTGAGAATGAAATCAAAACTTCTCTGGTGGCCAGTAATTCAGTATGTACATTTCCTTATTAATGGTATTTTTAAATCATCCTTCAATCATATTCCTAGTGCTTTGTATTACAAAGAAATACGAATTAAGATATATACATTTTTAAGATAATCCTTTTATTGGCTCCTGGGACAATGGCTTTGTCAAATGTTTCTATTTTTCTGATAATTGTGTGTGCATGTATGTGAAGTTTCTTTGGTTTTGTCACTTGTGTTTTTGTAAGAATTTCATAATAATCAAATGCTTACACATTCCTAACACCATCTGAAGCTGTTAAAATAAAATCCCAGTAAAATGTGTCATTTTGCCTGTTTCGTACAATGTGCCCCTCTCACTAGTCTGGACTGAGCTTCAGACTCTTGGCTGCCATTCAATCTTCTACAAAGCCTACATCCCACCTATGAGAATTTAATTAAAAAATTCTCTCCCATTTTATAACTTTAAAATGCAAATTATTTTATCATTTATTGATGGAGTACAGTTGGGATGGATTTCGAACCCTCAGTGAGTTAGCAACTCCCCCTGCATGTGAAGACAGGCTCCGGCGGGTTGAGAGGACAAGACCAATAGTAGGTCCCATGATCAAGAAGGCAGTTAGTGTAAATTGCTAGAGTCCCTCTTCTTTAAGATTTAGCTTCCTCCCCAGGGTCTCTAGAAGCTAGATCTCAGATGGTGGAGAGGGCTGATCTTACTTCTAAATGCGCATGCATATCCATGTGTAAAAAAAGGTAAGGTAAAGGGTAAAGGACTCCTGGACAGTTTTGTCCAGTCAAAGGCGACAGTGGGGTTGTGGCGCTCATCTTGCTTTCAGGCCGAGGGAGCCGGCGTTTGTCCACAGACTGCTTTCCGGTTCATGTGGCCAGCATGACTAAACTGCTTCTGGTGCAACGGAAACCAGAGTGCATGGAAACACTGTTTACCTTCCTGCCATACCTGTACTTATTTATCTACTTGCACTTGTATGCTTTCGAACTACCACGTTGGCAGAAGCTGGGACAGAGCAACGGGAGCTCACTCCGTCACAGGGATTTGAACCGCTGACCTTCCGATCAGCAAGCTCAAGAGGCTCAGTGGTTTAAACCCACGTCCAATTCTATAGATGTCTCAGATAGCTCCAAGGGAAGTTGGTATAGGATCAGGGTTGTCCCTAGGTGGCTGGGCCAAGAAGCCACAAAAATCACATCTCTCCAATCTGGCTCAGAATGGCTAGGAACCCACCTGTGCAGTCCCCCAGGCCACTCTTCCAATGCTCAGAGTGGCCCACATCTCCTTGCCAAGGGCACAAGGGAACCTAGGCACGTCTCTGAATAGGATTGCAGCCTACGGTGACATATGGCGCACAGCCAGCCACTTCGAAAACTGCCGCTGCTGTCCTATATTTTGAACTGTCAATAATGTAATTATATGATAATCCCCCCCACTGAGCACATCTTCGGTGGTTGAACTTTAACCCAAAAGAGGAATGAATTGTTTGAGCATTTAAATCAGTGGCCAGCAGGGCCATATTTGACCCACCAATGAATAAAGCAGGCAGTGGCAAATCTTCAACAACCTATCTATATAATAATGGACATGATAGATATAGGGTTGCCATATGTCCAGGAATTCCCGGACATGTCCTCTTTTGGTGGTCCTACGTGCCCCTCCGGGGGGAATTTTACCATTTAAATCAAATGTACTGGATTTGGGTATTTTATTTTTTTTTAAAATGTGCCGGACGGCTCTTGTTCAGGCTCCGATGTGGGCAGCTCGGGCGGCACTTTCTGTCTCTGGATTTTTACCTCTTGAAATTTGGCAACCCTGCGGTAGAACTCTTGATGAGATCCTTGGCACTGGAGTGTTGAAAGCACAACTCTCATTTGGAGAGCATGAATTAACAGAGAAAATAGCAGAATACAAAAATGCATATTACGCACAGACTGCAAGCTCTTCTCGCTATTGCGTGTGTAGCATTCAACTGACAGAGGCTTTGTGAAGCTTCAGTGGTACTGTTGCATCATACGTAATGTGGCACTACAACAACCGCCACTTAACATTTGTAATTGCTGTGCTCTTTCACTCCTGCACGACTGCTGCTTAGGTTCCATCAGCTTGAAATATTTATGCATTTAACTGTGCATGACCTACTCCTCATGCAAGCACTTTTTAAAGAAAAAGGCTCCCGGAGACTGGTTAAGTGGTTCTTGAGAAAAATGGTTTGAGTTCAAGAACAGGACGGCGAGCACACCCAACCCAACCTAGTGAAAAATAAATGCCGGTAATGAAGCACAGTGGCAGATTTATGGCAAAATAATCAGAAGAAATCCAATGTGCCTATTAGAATGGAGTAATAGAATTGCAGAGTTGGAAGGAACCACAGGGGTCATCTAGCCCAACCCCCTGCCATACAAGAATCTTTTGCTTAACACAGGGCTTGAACCCATGAGCCTGAGATTAAGAGTCTCGTGTTTTACCAGCTGAGCTATTCCAATCTCTTTTGCACCCGTGCAGAGGCAAGATTTGAGCCAGGCACCTCCTGATTTGTAGCTCAGTCTCTTTTAGCCAAATTGTGAGGCAGCTACACAAATATGGGGGTGTTATATGGGGCTTTTTCTTTCTTTCTTCTTTTTAGAAAAAAAGGCAAGTAAGAGAGAGTATGTTAGAGGTGACTCAAAGTATACATGGTATAGAGAAAGTGCATAGGGAGATGTTCTCCTGCTCTCATAATATTAGAACTTGTTGTTATTGTTTAGTCGTTTCTGACTCTTCGTGACCCCATGGACCAGAGCACGCCAGGCACTCCTGTCTTCCACTACCTCCCGCAGTTTGGTCAAATGCATGCTGGTAGCTTCGAGAACACTGTCCAACCACCCCGTCCTCTGTCGTCCCCTTCTCCTTGTGCCCTCCATCTTTCCCAGCATCAGGGTCTTTTCCAGGGAGTCTTCTCTTCTCATGAGGTGGCCAAAGTACTGGAGCCTCAGCTTCAGGATCTGTCCTTCCAGTGAGCACTCAGGGCTGGTTTCCTTCAGAATGGATAGGTTTGATCTTCTTGCAGTCCAAGACAGCATCATAATTCAAAAGCATCAATTCTTTGGCAATCAACCTTCTTTATGGTCCAGCTCTCACTTCCATACATCACTACTGGGAAAACCATAGCTTTAACTATACAGACCTTTGTTGGCAAGGTGATGTCTTTGCTTTTTAAGATGCTGTCTAGGTTTGTCATTGTTTTTCTCCCAAGAAGCACTTGGGAGAACTTAGGACCACCCAATGAAGCTGATCGTTAGAAGATTCAGGATAGACAAAGGAAAGCACTTCTTTACTCAACAGTAATATAAGATGTAGATTCACCAACTTGGATGACCCAGTCCATGGAAGATAAAGCCCACAAAGGTTACCAGCAGGGATATATCTATGTTCTACATCCACCCCTAAAAGCAGGCTGCATCTGAACGCCAGTTGCTGGCAATCACAAGCAGAGAGAGTACTGCTTGCAGGGCTCTTATGTTCTTACCTGCATCACCATCCTGTGCCATATATTCTAGAACGGAGTCCTCTGAGAAGACTTCATTCCACCAATAACCCTGGACAAAGCTCCCAACCTTAGTTGCTTGTCTGTAAAAAGGATATGACTTAAACATGCATCACAGATTTGTTGAGAACGAATGTGGAAAGTTTATCCTAAATTAAACGCTACCCTAGGGACACAGGTGGCACTGTGGGTTAAACCACTGAGCCTCTTGGGCTTGCTGATCAGAAGGTCGGCGGTTCGAATCCCCGTGACGGGGTGAGCTCCCGTTGCTTGGTCCCTGCTCCTGCCAACCTAGCAGTTTGAAAGCACATCAAAGTACAAGTAGATAAATAGGTTTTTCCGGCGGGAAGGTAAACAGCATTTCCGTGCACTGCTCTGGTTCGCCGGAAGCAGCTTAGTCATGCTGGCCACATGACTCGGAAGCTGTATGCCGGCTCCCTCAGCCAATAAAGCAAGATGAGCGCCACAACCCCAGAGTCAGCCACGACTGGACCTAATGGTCAGGGGCCCCTTTACCTTTACCTTAAACCTACCCTGAAGTTTAAATATAGATTAATACATGTTTAATATTTATTCTTACGGGGGGGGGGATTTTAAAAGAAAGAAATGGGAAACGTGTTCCCGCATCTGTCTTCTTTGTCCCCGCCACCTCCAGACTACCAAGAGCAAGTTTTTCAATAGTTAGAAGCTCTATAATGAGACCATCTAGATCCGCTGGTGATCTCTTTGTGAGCTTCCCCATCCAGCTCACATTCCCTGTTTATAGGGCGCATGGTGAGAACATGTGCAGGATGACAGACAGCTCATGTACTGACAGCTTTTGGCAAAGCTGCATTATTTCACAGAGGACTCTCCATCTGTCGCTACATTCAGCAACACAAACTGACCTCGCCGGCCCTGGCAGATTAACATTTAATGATGCTTTCAGCTTGAGCCCTTATAATTTTTCATCTTCCAGGGGGCAAACAGAGAGCAGGAAACAGTCTTCATGTGGTCTAGAGCACACTAGGGACAGGTTGGCAGTGGGTCCTTGCCAACAGGATCAGAAATGCTGTTTGCTTGTTTGGGCACCAAAGGTTTTGTCACAATCAAGTGGTATATGGATTTTGTAAAGCACATAGCTACCCCGCCCTCAGTAATCCTAGGAACTGTAATTCACGCATCACAGAGCTATAATTACCAGCTCCCTTAAAAACTACAGTTCCCAAGATTCTTTGCAGGAGGCCTTGTGCTTTAAATGTGCATTAAATGTGCTTTACATGTATGGTGTGAATTCGCTATGTAAAATACAAAGATGACCTTGCGAAAGTGAATGCAATTTCATTGCTGCTCCTTCTCAACAAACAGAAACTATAGCCAACTGTCAGGAGACGCACATGCTCTCTGGATTTGAGACAGAGAGAAATAAAAGGCTGTGATTTTTACCCCACATTGATTTACTTTGTGTGTACATTTGTGTGTGTAGATATACATATATACACGTTTCTGCAATTCTGTCAATTCTCTAGTAACTGGGAATAAAGTGGGTCAGGATTGTGTTTTATTCATACAGAGTGAATTAACTGCATGCTGTCCCCTCAAGCATAATCCATCTTTCCCTGGCCTAGAAAGAAATCCTGCTGCAGGCCTGCACTAAGAGCCCCGACAGCAAGGTGTGTAGAACCCCCATAGTCACAAACCGCTAAAATTGCCAAAAACTGTGCAGGGCTCCAATTCTGTTTCCACAGAGGACACAACACAAAACAGGGCCCTTTCACCTAATACTGTACTATCAAATGTTTGTTTTGTAAATATAAGATTAGGCTTTTCAGCACCCACAAAAAATATGGGGTGTTTTTTTTTAACGTTGGCTGTACATGCATCATTTGCGCTGCCATGGCCTGGTTGCCCTTGTAAAATTACTCTGGCCTATCTAAACATTCATATTTAGACACGAGTATTGTGATTGGAGGGGACACGGGTGGCGCTGTGGGTTAAACCACAGAGTCTAGGACTTGCCAATCAGAAGGTCGGCGGTTTGAATCCCCGCGATGGGGTGAGCTCCCGTTGCTCGGTCCCTGCTCCTGCCAACCTAGCAGTTTGAAAGCACATCAAAGTACAAGTAGATAAAAGTACCGCTCCGGCGGGAAGGTAAACGGCGTTTCCATGCGCTGTTCTGGTTCACCAGAAGTGGCTTAGTCATGCTGGCCACATGACCCGGAAGCTGTATGCCGGCTCCCTTGGCCAATAAAGTGAGATAAGCGCCGCAACCCGAGAGTTGGTCACGACTGGACCTAATGGTCAGGGGTCCCTTTACCTTTTTATTGTGATTGGACAGGCATCCCCCCTCTCCACTTACGCAGAAGTTATGCTCTGGGTCCCCGTGTGCATAGGTGAAAATCACGCAAGTGGGGAGCTTCCTCTAAACACCCTCTCTGCTGTTGTCTCTCCAATCTAGACCAAAAACATTGTATCCAACAATTGAAGCTCTGGGGCTGGCTGGAGGCTGGAGGAGGCGTGGGGAAATGACTGCAACTGCCATGCTGCCCCACACATCAGCTGTTAGGTGGGGAGGCTGAGCAGCCTAAACAAAGCCCCGCTGTGCCTCCAGTCTTTTCAGGGGTTGCTCCACCCTCAATGACATCCTCTTCAGGCTCCAGGGAGGGTCTCCTTGCAAGCCATGAGGGCTCACCAGCTCTCTCCTGCGATTTCCAAGTTTGAATTGAATTATTTATTTATTTCCCGGCACCACATGTGCGTGTGCAGTCACGCATGTAAGGGGAGGGGTGCCTATACTATTGGGAGAGGCCTGTAACAGCATCAGCTCAAGATACATTCCTACAAAGCACATTTATAGGTGACATAAGAAAAAGTCATTTGGTTAACATGGTGGGTTTCCCCGTTGCCTTCCAATTGATTAGCGTGGGTTGCAAGAGCACAATATTGTGTATGGGGCACAAATCCCATTAGAAATCCAATTGTTTTTTCCTTTGGTTAGGGGGCCAGTTAAACATGCCGAGAGGCTCTGCAAAATAAGATTGTTTCCGTCCAATTACTCTGTTACTCTATTGCACCATTAAAATGAATGATTACAGCCCAGTCCACAAACTAGATCAGACAGATAGTTGGATTTAAGCCAATTGTGTCTTACTGCGGGAAATCAGCTTAAACTGAAGTCGGCTCATGTGCTCGCCTTTGAATCATCAGCAATCACACAGTTTTACTAGCAGCTTCTATGAATACCTCACAAAACAACAAAATGCTTCAGTTTTATTTACTCCCATTTGATATTCCCAAAACAAGGGCATAAAACAGAAGTTCATTAAGTGTTTGCCAGGAAGAATTAATGTGGCAAACATGTTTTCAGCAGCACTAAAGATTTCCCCATCCCCATTCTTTTCAGGGAGAGTTAAAGCCATCCTTTCAGATGCAGTTCCGATAGAAATAGAAGAAGTAATCAGTGAAAAATATCCCAGCGTAGTTAGGATCCGTTGAACAGTCTGCAAGATCCTGGTGGGACAAAACAATAAATAAAGTAAGATTAAGATAGATCCAATAATCATAGCTAAATGTTTTGTTCTTTTTTTAGTCTTTTTTTATATAAAAAAATAAGACTTACTGGAGCAGCAACACGAAAATGGTAAGCACTGTCATGGAACGAGCTTACAGGGAGATACCAAATATGATGGAATCCCTGTATAACCAAATAAAAGAGAGAGAGAGAGATGATAGGGAATGAAACTTGCATGGATGTCTATTGCTGCAAATGCACATTAGGGAAGTAAGAAGGTAACCATTTCCGTCTGGACATGTAGTCATTGCAAGCAGCACTGTTTCCATTCTGCTCCAGTTCAGTTTTCACCAAATAATACATTATTTCTCTTGATGTCTACTATTTAATTTAAGTTACATAAGTTATGGTTAGCGCACATAACTTAGGTAGCAATTTACATAACTTACATTCCTTTAATGTAACGAAAACACAACCACGTAAAAAAAAGCCATTAATTACATATCATCTGTGCACATCAAGAACAACAGCAACGTGAATGAATACCAATTGCATTCATTTCATTGACCACAGACAAATATGCAAACTGCAGTAATTTCCGCTTCCTTTCCCATTTTCATCAGAATTCTCTGACATTCCTATTACACATGCGGGAATGCTGCAGTTTCTAAGGCTTTGACCGTTCTGGGGTTTGCCAAGGTCAGAATGAGAATCAGTACTTTATCCTAACTCAAGGGAAACACATCTTGCTTGTTTACAAGCCTTTGTTGTATTATTTCCAAGAGCTGGAGCCTCCCTAGGTTCCAGAAAATATAACAGCAGTGGGCAGTGCTTCCTTCTAGTTGTTTCTTAACTGACAGATGAAGTAAATAAAACTCATTGTATGGAAGAGACAGGGACGCGGGTGGCGCTGTGGGTTAAACCACAAAGCCTAGGACTTGCCGATCAGAAGGTTGGCGGTTTGAATCCCCGCAACGGGGTGAGCTCCCGTTGCTCAGTCCCTGCTCCTGCCAACCTAGCAGTTCGAAATCACGTCAAAGTGCAAGTAGATAAATAGGTACCGCTCCGGCGGGAAGGTAAATGGCGTTTCCGTACGCGGCTCTGGTTCGCCAGAAGCGGCTTAGTCATGCTGGCCACATGACCCAGAAGCTGTATGCCGTCTCCCTCAGCCAATAAAGCAAGATGAGTGCCGCAACCCCAGAGTCAGCCATGACTGGACCTAATGGTCAGGGGTCACTTTACCTTTACCTTTATGGAAGAGACAACAGAACTAAGTACCTGTGTAGTTTCTGGAAAGGGTTCCCTCTTATGACGGGTTTGTTGTGGAAGACGAAAGCAAGACTTTCCAAAGGTGATTTTGCATTGAAAGATAATGAGTGGTTCTGTTGTACTTCAAGGAACAAGGATAATATTAAAAGCTGCAAGATGCTATAGTACTGCTTAAAAAAAATATACGAAATAAGACCTATGGAGTTTAACAAGCAAAGCACCCAAGGCAAATGCATGGCTCCATACTGGGAGACAGAATTCCACTGAAAATCAATGCTAATTCTAACAATATAGCTGCTCAAAAGAGTGTACCGACATGGAAATGGGATCATAGCAATTTGGAAATGTTGAGTATAAATTCTATGGGCCAGTTCATATATGACTGCTTGCATTCCCATTTTGCAGATCAAGTGAATGATCTACTTCCAGGAGTACCATAGCATAGCAGGGAGTAACTCATATCAATAGTGCAAATCAAATTTTGCGAATGTTTGAATGATGGACTTTCAGGGCCAGTTCTACTATTAGACAGAGTGAAGCAGCTGCCTAGGCTGGTGGATTGCTGGAGGATAGGGAGAAGAGGGGAGATGTTGGAGGACCTCCTATATTAGTCAGCTGCTCGCAGGTTCAGTGGAAGATGCTGTCCCATCATCAGTGATGAGCTGAAGTTAGATTCAATGGCCAGTACACTCAACGTCTGCACTCACAGCGGGTCTCTACTGTAAACATCAGCAGCCAAGCACAACACATGAATTGGCTCTAAGGATGCAACCCAGCTCCATTAAGGCCAACTGAGGTTTCCAGCAGAATGTGAACCATTAAGGGACATTCGTAAATTTCAATTTAGGCTTTCTCATCCTTGCTGTTTCACTAGGATCTGTTAAGATCTGGGCACAATCTTCATTCATACCATATACAGATAAGGTTAAAAAAAAAGTTTATCTATAGCAAAATCTGTCTGTGTACTTACTTGATTTCCAGAGAGATTTTCACTATGACAGGTGTGTGTTTGTTAATGGGAACAATGTAACTATAATTTCCAGACCTAAAATAATAAATAGTGACAATGGCTTTCAATATTTTGAAATTCTAGGCAAATATCAATAAAAGTGAAAAAAGTCAAATGCTGAGCCAATCAGCTATATGAACTGGAGACTGCAAAGTACAGCCTTAAGCAACCTTATCAACTATTCTAATGGGAAATAGCAATGAACAGTAGCCCAGTAGCATAGCTGGGCAACAATTTCAGTGGGAGGCACTTTGAGACAGTCACCAGCACTGCACAGAATAGCAAGGTAGCCTGCTTTTTAAATTGAGAACAGCAGTGAGCAACAGGTACAAAAATCAGCCATCCTTTTGCATATTATGATCCAACCTTCAACAGCAGGTCCTGGGGTGGGTTACAACTCTTTAAAATTCAGTATTAAAAATAGCTGAAATAAATGACAGCCATATGAATGAGCTAGGATGTGAACTAAAGCAAAAACAAAATTTAGAAAATCTTGCCTTTCTGAAGATTCTGCATCCCCATGTGCAGATGGTGATGATGGTGATGATTATCATTATCATTACTGTTTATTAAATTTGTATACCCCCTTCATCCAAAGATCACAGGGTGATTTCACAAGATCAGTTTCCTGAGCATGCAGTATCACTTTTTTTTCTTAGATGAAAATATTTGCACCATTAATTGTGGAGGCATGACACTATCACCTTACATATGTCTACTCAGAAGTAAGTCTCATTGAATTCAATGGCACTTTACTCCCAGGTATAGAATTGCCCTCTCCAAATAGCTAATCTCTGTTGAGTTAACTATAAGTTATGGTAAGACCAACTGACAGCTAGGGATTCAAAGATCCGTTTTCTCGGTTTCTTGTTTTTTCGAATCTGAACTTCCGTTTTCCACATTTCACAGTAACTTGGCAATTTTTTAAAATCCTCATAGAAACTCATCTGCATTCTAGTGCAAATTTCTCTTAATAAATACATTTTTATATGTAGTTTTGATCAATGTACCAATTTTTGCAAGCAATTTCCCCTAATCTATGAAATTCTGCAAACATTGGCTGCCTCGAGAACTTCATTGCAAAATTCAGATTAAGTGCAATTGCTGAAGGATAGCTGTGTTTCAGTCTGCATATTGTTTCAGAAATTTATCGGATTTGGCTTTAAGTGCATGCTGAATAAAATTTCCCCTCCATCCCTACTGGTTTTTCACAGTGGCCCGCCTGCAGCAGCAAAATCCTTAGCTCAACTTAACATATTGAGGCTCTGTGCTGCATTAGACAAAGAGATGTAAGGAAACAATTTTACCCACCCACACTGCAGGTTTTTGCGACAATAACGGCGATCTATTTTTTGTTGCGTCTCTAAGATCTGCATAGAGATGATTGATGTGTCAGTCCCTGAAAGGAAGAAGAATTGTTTTCGTGAGCATAGACACTTGGCATGAAGAAACTTTTTTTTAAAAAATGCACACACAATAATAATGAAAAGTTTATATGAAAACTTTTTGTTACAACTGGCTCCCCATTCCATTAGCTGCCTTTGCCCTCTGCCCTCACCCTGGCACTCCTGGTGAAAGGCCCTATGAAATATACTCAGAGTCCTGCAGTGATTTCATGCTCTTTATTGCAGCTTGTAAAACAGTGATTGAATTTCCCCCCAAACCCCAGGCTTTTATATACATTATTTACACAATGAGTCCCGTCTGATTGACTGATTCTGCTTCCCTCCTGGAGCCTGATTGGTCTTCTCCTGCAGGCCAATCAGTTGTTGCATGCTAGCATCCTATCTCCCTATTGTTCTAGGATCCAAGCTTAGTATATAACACCCTATTAATGGTAGTGACTTTGCAAAAGTCAAGCTTTCAGAAGACATATTAACTTTGAAGAGTCCTCTGGAATTGTAACTCTGATACACACACAATTTCATCCAAATCACACCACATGTGAAAACAACAACGTGGTACACTCACCGCTTTAAGATGTTAACCATTTCGAAAACACATGTACAAATCATGTCAGGAAAAAAAGGATGGGACTTAGGGGAGCAATGGGTCATTGTGTCTGGCTGTTAACCAGATGGTTGGTGGTTCAAGCCCATCCAGCGATGGCTGTGGGCAGGATTCCTGCATTTGAGGGGGTTGGACTAGATGACCCCAAGGTCCCTTCCAACCCTACAATTCTATGCTTCTATATGAAGGAACCCCAAGGATTATTTCAGAAAGTGCAAATTAGGTAGGGTTACCTTTAAATGCAAACTGATTCAAATTTCTCCCCGTTCCTGCTGGTAACGGGAGGCAAAAGGAAGAGGTGGAGGAGAACACGACCCATTGAGCCAAGTTGTGGGTGACATTCCCAGAATAATTATTCACAAAGTGGGTCGAATACATTTCTTCAAAACTATTGATAGGAGGAAATCGTAATGGACCACAGAGATTAAGATGTGCCAGCTGTCCTGGCAATGAGCTACAGTGGTGCCTCGGGTTACAGACGCTTCAGGTTACAGACTCCGCTAACCCAGAAATAGTACCTCAGGTTAAGAACTTTGCTTCAGGATGAGAACAGAAATCGCACAACAACAGCAGCAGGAGGCCCCATTAGCTAAAGTGGTACCTCAGGTTAAGAATAGTTTCAGGTTAAGAACGGACCTCCAGAATGAATTAAGTTCTTAACCCGAGGTACCACTGTATCTGCAACCTCATGCTCCATCCTCTGTGCATGGTCTGACCTACCACCTTTCATGTAGTTATTTGGTAGGTGATCATGATTTATATCATAATATTTACCACTGTATATGCATAACTTCTCTAAACTAGATCAACATTTTAAAGTAACCAAAAGGGTTTTGAGGAACTTTATTTTTCAAAGGAAATAAAAAATACTTTACAGTCATTTCCAAGGTCAGGCTTCTCAAACCAGTTGTTTCCTGGCAGTACTTTCCTTTTCGTTCCTGAGGAAAGAATAGAGGGCCTTCACAAACTGAAACAATTATATGATAAAAACAAATACAGCAAAATGAGCTTCTGCATGAGTTTTCCAAGCACAGGTTTGAAGGACGCTTGCAGATGCTCTATTCTGAAGACAGTTCATTTTATGAAAGGGGACTTTTTTCACACTCTAGAGGTCATATTCAGTTTCTCAAGGACCATTCCATTTGGAGAAGAGAATAAGCAAAGGGAATACTGTGTACAGTTTGCATTGCAATACTCTGTTTTATTTACAAAAGCATAAAGCAAATTAGGTGTTGGGGGGTGCAGCAGCAAGTCCCGGCAGGATGAGCCAGGGCCAGCTCCAGCTCCACTGTTAAGTAGAGTGAAGTGGTGACCTCAGACCTTGCATGGTGGGGAGGTGCTGGAGAGAACAGAGCTGTGTGTGTCATGTGACCTGCAGTGTGCTCCGTAGGCCAGTGTCCTTCAACCTTGGGTCCCCAGGTGTTGTGGGAACTACAACTCCCATAATCCTCAGTTAGTTTAGCCAATAGTCAGGAGTCATGGGAGTTATAGCCCCACAACATCTGGAGATCCATAGTTGAAGAATACTGTCCTAAGCTAGCCTGCTGCTCTCATTTACAATGGGGGAGCAGACTGTCCCTTTGTCAGTCTTGAAGTAAGTTTTAGCTACCAGTCTGGCCACTTTCCAGGATATAGAATGGGGTGTGGTTCACCATATTTGCCTCAGATAGCAAAATATATTCAGCCAGCCGTGGTGCTGGTCTGAAAGCATTATCTGTTCTAGTCACCAGCACATCAGTGAAAGCCCAGAGAAAGTTAACATGAGGAACTCCTCTTGTGGTCTGTTTTGTTTTGTTTTTCAGATGGGCCAGCCAGGGAGGCTGCAGAAAGAAAAACACATAATCCACCTTTGAACACTTTGCAACAGTAAGGTAAGCTCCATACCCCAACCCCCTGAAATTCTCAAGGAATCCTCATCTTCCCTGTGAAAGAGACAGAAAAACTGAAAAATAATCTTTCACAGAGAAATAAAACTTCTGAGAAACTAAGAACAGATTTCAGCAAAGTGCTAATTTTGTCTCCACATTATCGTCATTGGGCAAGTGCAGGCACACAGCTACATGGAGAGATCTATCCTCAGCTACCATTTTCACAATCACTACAATCACAGAAATTGCCTTCTCATAAGTAGTAGCAACATCCATTCATGATTTAACTTACTATGTTCCTTTGCCTTCACCTTCTGATAATTTAGGTCTTTTCTTACTGTTTGATGACTTGGACAGCAGTAAGTTTCCTGACAAGGTAAAATGCCACAAAAATTCACTTCAGGAATGACGCCAGTAGGTTTGGGGCTTGAAGACATTGTGCTGTATCTGGTCACTACAGTAGAAGAAATCCATGAATGACACACATATCACCTTCACCAGTTTTAACATAGCGAAATTTGGGTGTGTCAATACATTCTAATTTTTCAGTTCAAACAGATTTGCTTCTTTTCAACAGTTAATTCATTCTACTTCTGCTCTCCACATTGAGTAGCAATGCACACCATGACAATGGGAAATTTTGACCCACATACCTACCTTCAGAAATAGGCATGCCACTTATGTGAGGGTTCAGTTCTGGGGGGAATCCATGCTCAGACAACATCATGCAAAGTCAGGAACTCCCAGAAGCCCCTGGGGGTTTATTGTTTCATTTGTTACTATGTTCAATATTTTTGTGGCTTTATATTGTAAGTGATGTGCCATCTTCCTTACCAGGCTCTGGGATGCTTCCAGAGCCGTCACACCTCCTTCCCAGAGGCTGGTAAGGAAGGAAAATCTGCTGGGAGTGTGGAAAATAAATAAGTGGAAAATAAACAAATGGAAAATAAATTAAGGGAGAGCAGGGATTCGTTTCTCCCAATCTCCCTTTATTTCCTGCCCACTGCATAAGGTTGCATATGTAAAGTGAGCATAAGTTGTGAGTCTAATGTATAGTGCTGCCCATATAGTTCTAAGTGTACTTCTTCAGCCTTATAGCCAAGAAATATGGGGCAACATCCAATGACGCCTGCCTGTTTGCACAGTAGAATTCCATTTGCACTTCCAGTTTCTCTTACTCACCCCCCAAGATCCCTGCAAACACACCCCAAATATCTGCTCTGAGGGCATCTCCCAACCCCCTGGAGCAGATTTAGGAGGAATGGAAGGCTTTTCAGGACTGAAGAGGACAAATCCTGTTGTATGAGTGGATGTCCACTCATGCTATGCTGGCTCTACCTCATGGGCTTTTTAAAAAAACAGCACAATGAAGGTTATGGTTCTGAGGATGCAGAATTCTGTGTCACATGCCAAATTCCATCAATGCAGGGTACAGTTTTTAGATTTACTCTATTAACATTTTTTCAGACTCAAATAACAGCTTAAAGCACAGTACCTGTCAAAGTGGTGGGTGGAGGGAGTGTTATCAGACTTGTTGAATTGCTGGGAAAGGTTGATAAAATCACATTAGCATATAAAAAAAACCCATGCAGCTATTACTCTAACACAGCAGCAACAAGGGTATATAAGCATATTCAAGTATGCTTTGCTAGCACCAAGTGGGAAACACGCACATAAAAGTGACTGCTCCCAACGAGTGCAATTGCATCTCCATGGAGGCTTGCCAATCCTTTTCATTTAATGCTTATACGCTTTAAATAGGCTGCTATCTGCCCAACCCCAGAGCATTACAAAGAGCAAACAATTAAAGTTCAAATAAGCGACAAATCAGTTACTTGCCTGCTTGTAGAACTGGCCATGACTGGGTCGGGTATGCTAAGGACATAAATGGTGGCTATCGACAGAACACTGTAACGAGACATTTATTCCATAGATTGACATCTATCATCATATACCAAAAAAAAAGAGTACAGAAGAAGCAAAATCTTTGAAATATCTCCTCCCCATTGTTGAAGTTCTCTTATGAGCCTCAGTTATCATTTATTTCATTAAACCAGTACTTAATATTAGGATCAAAGAAATGAAGTCTGATGGTGTTGATGATTATCACCACCACTTAAATGTGTATGTGTGTGTGTGTTCTTCCCTATAACAATAAAAACCATGTTGTTGTTGTTGTTTTACAAAAAGCTTTTATGAATGAACTGATGAAGAAAACAACCAAGTGGTCGTATCCAGTGCTGCTGTTCTGCTTGCACAACAGACTTCCACTCGCACAATGGAACTTCCTCTCCTTTCCTTCTTGCAGCCTTCAAAATCTGGTCCAGAGGGTTGAGGGACCCTCCAGGACAAAATTGATAACACGTGGAGGGGCAGAGAGGAAAAGTAAGTCCCATTGCACTAGTAGAACTTTGCTTGTGCAATGCTGAAATTACATCCCAACATCTCATTAATAATATGCTTTTCTTTACCAGACTGCCATAACTGCAACCAAGGCAATCACAGTTATCTGGAAGATCCTGGAGCTGGACCATGACTGACTTTTCTCTGGAGAACGCATCTGAGGAAGAAGGAAGGAAGGAGCATGGGCTTAATCCATAATGCTTATGTGGAGCAGGCAGTGTGCATCATCAGAATATTTTTCTGCGAGTACAGCTCAGAATCTACACTGAAAACTATTCAACACCTGTTAAAGTTCCTTTGGCACCTCTAGGCAGAAGATCCCACAAGCACTTCTCCCTGGGAATAAAAATGCAAGGGATTGGACCCAGGCTTAAGAGTCAACCCACTGAAATCAATGAACCACAAGTCTAATTTCAGTGGATTTCAGTGGAACTAAGTCTTGACCCAAGCCAGGGGGGCGGGGGCGGGGGGCGGGATTGAATAGCAAACCATATGCTGCCCTTTCCTTACATCCAAAATCAGCTGCCTGAGACAACCAATTGCTGAGTTGAGGTGTCTGCAAAAAAAATTGCTCTTTTTAAAAATTATTTGTCCTACCCCCACAGCGTGCAGTTTAGCTCACTTGCTTTAGCAACCTACAATGCATTCTTTTATACATCTGTTCAGAAGTAAGCTGCAGTTTGAAGATTCCAGGACTGTAGCCCAAATTATACTGCCCTACCTAGAAGAGCCAGGATTTGACCTTTTGCATGTAGCCTTTCCCCAACTTTCCCATGCTTGTTCCTACCTGGAAGCAAGGTGATTTCCACATGTGTCCCCCCTTCCTTTTTAAGAGATTATAACTAATTCAACAGGTTTTCTGTTTAAATTGACAGTCTTTTTACCTACACATTGGAGAGTTATTCGCAATCTATGTTCTTACTTTCACTCACCTTTATGGGAGCTGATTTTCTTGATGGTAAACGAGAAGTAGCTTGGCTAAAAATCCTGGAATACATATTTTTTAAAAAATGCTTTACTTTGTGAATTCATTGCAGGAAGTGATAAAAAAAGAATATTAGAAGGGAAAATCAACAAGGAGGTGAATCCTGTTGTTAGCTTGCTCAGATGAATGCCATCAAAGATTGTTTTTCATGTTGAAACATTGATTAGAATGACAAACCCCAGTATACCTGAAGGAGCATCTGCACCCCCATCGTTCAGCCTGGACACTGAGGTCCAGCTCCAAGGGCCTTCTGGAGGTTCCCTCATGGTGAGAAGTGAGGTTACAGGGAACCAGACAGAGGACCTTCTCAGTAGCGGTGCCCGCCCTGTGGAATGCCCTCCCATAAGATGTCAAGGAAACAAACAACTATCTGACTTTTAGAAGACATCTGAAGGCAGCCCTGTTTAGGGAAGTTTTTAATGTTTGATGTTTTATTCTGTTTTTAATATTCTGTTGGGAGCCGCCCATGGTGGCTGGGGAAACCCAGCCAGATGGGCGGGGTATAAAAATTATTATTATTATTATTACATGGAAGCTGCAATGGACATTTGGAGTGCATTCCATTTGCATGAAAATAGTATGTGACTAGAAACAGTTTTGCCAAAACAATGGACTCTTCAGAAATCATGAGTATCAAAGGGCAAATCTGACCATGGCGATAGCTACGGGTGAGTACTAATCCCTGATGCACACTGCTGGAAAAGGGTAAGATGTTGCAGAGGTGTCCACTGGACTCCACACTGATGATATGGCAGAGTGCCTGCAGCTGCCAGTAGGTAGTCACTGTAGCTCTCAAAAATGGGGCTTATTGGGCTCAAGCAAGGCTGATAAGGAACCAAAGCCCCAGTCTATTTCCTGTGCCAGGCTCAGTTGGGGTTGCTCCCTCAACCACCTTTCTTTCTTTTTTTTAAGTGCTCTGAAACAAGTTGCAGTCTAAACAATAAAACACAAAAATGTTCCTGAAATATCCAGAACTTGCCGTCCTATGAATTTAGCTCTACCTTTAGCTATACAGGTTATGTCTAACATGTTAAGGAAGCTGGTGAATTTGGCTGTGTGTCCTGTGGAGAAATGCAGATACCTTCTTGCGTTCTTTTCACTGGATGTCGTTGACTTCAAGCTGTTTATCTGTTTCAGTCTGGCTAGTTTTTTATTCCACGCTTCCAACTCTTCTATCCGGACTTCAAGATTGTTTGTTAATTTGCAAAGCTGCTTCACTGCACCCACATTCTCCATGAAAATTTGATCCTAGAAAGAAACACAGACAAAGAACCCCATCAATAAATAAGATGTGAAGAAAGGAATTACCTTAGCTGAGCATCCTAGATGGCTTCCTGAAGGTATTATTTCTGCCTTTTTAAACCACAAAACTCACTCCCCTTCCATTATATCATGACTAATGATGTGCCAAAGTTTTCCCTAATCTTTTTTATTTCCTCTGAAAATGTGACAGAAAAACGGAAGCTTCTTTTGCAGGGGAAGAAAACTTTTGAGAATTTGGAGAGCAGAGGTTGGCACAACACTAACCAAATCACAATTTGCTTTTAAGACTCTTGTCGATTTCAAAAGCCCTTCACCATGCACCAGACGAGATTGCCGTTCAGGAAACACAAGTGTAAGCTTTACAATCCTTTGGATGCTACCCTTGACATGTGATTTCTTAGTTCTACCCTAAGGAGAGTTCAAGTGCATAAAATACCAACACCTTTATTCAAAATAAAAAGACCACAAAAATCCCCCCACAACCCCCAAACTGCTGGATCAGTTATGTATGTAAATAATAAAAATAATAAATTATGTGCCATCTGCACTCAATTGCTGGTGAGCACTTGTGCAGGAAAGGCAGTGACTAACAAGAGCACATCATGCAGCACCACGCTAAAACATTTGTTTTAAATTAGTGTTGTGCCTAAACACTAAATAGATCGTGACAGGCATTCGAGGTTTCTGAATGTTTTCCTCCACAAACTGTTTCCCATGGACAGATTCAGAATTCCCTGTCACACGGTACGTTCTGTGCAGATCAGATGGTGCAAACAGACTCAGCTGAACCGTTTATCTTGCAACTCCAACACAACTTCCCCAGGGAGAAAAAGACAGATGGAAGAAGAGAGTCCCCTTATGCTATTTCTGAAATGGGAGCTGGGGAAGTATTTGTTTATTTTTTTGCTAAGCAGGATAACAGACACTGAATCAGCTAACACCAGGTCCTCTTTGTGGGCGTTCTATGAGGTGTCCTTGTTTCTTATGTATGAAGCGGTCAATTTATATAAACCTGAGAAAGAACTGAGGGAATATGGTTTGAATTTGAATGCATGAAGACGTGGCCATGTGGCTACATTGCGGAACAAGTTCCAAACATGTTCCAGAGTGCACCAGAGTGAGATAGAAAGGAGGGGGGCGAGGGACTGGTAAATCTGCTATTTCTACTCTGTGACACTTTCTCATGAACTCACCTGAAACTCCATTCTGTCCCATTTCCTTGTTGATTTGTTGTTGTTTTTTAATGTGCTTATTGATTTTATTGCATTAATATCCCATCTCTCTTCCAAGGAGCTCAAGTTTGCATACAAGGTCCCCTTCTCTCCATTTTATCCCCACAACAAACCTGTGGGGTAGGTTAGGCTGTGAGAGCATGACTGGAGCCCAAGGCCACACGGCAAACTTCATAAGTGGCCCAACACACTGCGCTACTATATCACGCTGGCTCTTCAAGATGCATTTAAAGATGTAGTTGTTTCTCTGAAAATAAGCACTTGAGAAATCTTTCGATACATCTCTTGAGCTGAGAACTGCCTTGGAATATTTAGGAAGTGCACCAAGTCATTGGCCTTCCAATCTATGCATTTGCCTGGCTGGGGTGAGGTCACTAAGCATAGGCACCTCTTCGGCTTTGCAGCTGGTAACAGTGTGTGTCTCCTGGAGGTCCTCTTCACCATGAGCGCCTTCCATGGTACAAAGCCTGGGCTGATGCCTCCACGACATCATGTATGGGTTGGTGTGAGTGGGGTTCTCCTCCACAGCTCACCTCATCTTCACAGTCCTTAAAGCCTTGTACTTTCTGTGTGCATACATTCTCAGAGTAGTCACAGGTAGGCTAATTTCTGGAGGAAAGAGTTCAAAGCGCCAGTTCCTCCTAACCCCACAACAGCTGAAATGGGTTAAGGGGTAGCATACTAGGTACTTGGGATCAGCAGCAGCAGGTGTGTCTCTCTCCGGTGTGATGTACAGCGCAGCCCTAAGCACTTAGCACTTACGGTGCACATGGAAGGTCCCTGGTCCAATCTTTGATGGTCATATCAGAATTCACAAAGACTGGATTTCTCAAGCTTCCCTAGAAGGAGCCACACCATTGGCTCAAGCCACATCATTCCTCTTCACAAATGCAACCACGCGAGTGTGAAAGCAGCTCACACATGACATAAGAATGGTCCCTCAGGATCCTGGCTTTCTTCCTAGATATTTGCAGGGTTGTGATGCCTCGGGCAAGCTGCCCTTTCATTCCCATTTTTCTTACACATCACACAAACAAACAAATTTCTGTACAGAGGTGCAGCCACTCCTATGGTTGAGGGAAGTTGTCTACGCAAGGCCCCCAGGATGCTATACTATTTATATCGCTGTATTGCGGCAAACTGCTTTCCCACACTATAACGTGCGAATTGAAAGCTGCCATTCAGCCTTTGAATAAAGCAGTTATTGTTCCATATGTTATTAAGCTGCCACAGTACATTTAAGCCATACAAAACACCATTGTAAACGCCGCACAGAGATGGTCTGGGGTTTTTTTATGGTGCCTAAATTGTACTGCCGCATATGATATGTAGCGTAAACAAAACCTACACAGTTGGGAAAGCCCACACAATCAACAGAGACAAGACATTCCACAATTGGTTCGCTGAAGGGTATCTTCAAAACACTCATGGTCTTGAAGCCATTACATCGATGACATGGTCCTCTTGTCTCCTTGCACAGGAGATATGAATCTGATGCCTTCCCAACCGGTCATGCCCAGATCTCCACAAAAGTATAGTTTGTATGAGGAGAGGGAGACAGACTGGAGTTTTATTAAGTCACAAGGTCCCGCAGAGTGCCAGAGCTTGCAGCCATTTAAGTGAAACTGTGCAAGTTCATAGTGAAATCCACAAGAGGGGAGGGGCCTGCTAAAACAAAAAGTTGCAGTGTAGACCATTCCTCTTCTTTTGTACACCCCTCCAGGCTGCTGATGCCTGCTCTTTTGTGGAGGTGGATAGTGCTCTTTTGGCAACATAAGGACTGGCACTCAGATAATTTACATCACTATTAGTATGGGGTACCCAATGTAATGCCCTGTTGTTGGACTACAACTCCCATCATCCCTGACCATTGGCCTTGCTGACTGAGGCTGATGGAAGCTGGAGTCCAGAATCTGTAGGGCACCACATTGGCAACCCCAGGTATATAGTATTAATATTTTCAGAAACAATCAAATTCGGCACATTTTTTCTGAACGGATGCAAGTATGGTTAACCTATTCCCCTTTGTGAAAATGCTCTTCTCCCATCAGGACCCAGTAATACAGGTCTACTTTATCTTGAGCAGCCTGAAGAAGGTATATGAAAGATCCAAATGATGAGGCCTAGCATTTAATTCAAGTTTGCCCTTGGTCCCATTTCATGCCAATGGTACAGGACTGAGAGTCTTGGAAGTTAATTCAGCTGGGAAGATTGCCATAACACTAGTTGGCCAAAGGGAGATCCAACTGAAGGGAAGGAATAGCTCATTATTGCTACTTTATTTATTTCAAAAATTTATTTATTAAAAAGCAGAGACATCACCTTGCCGACAAAGGTCCGTATAGTTAAAGCTATGGTTTTCCCAGTAGTGATGTATGGAAGTGAGAGCTGGACCATAAAGAAGGCTGATCGCCGAAGAATTGATGCTTTTGAATTATGGTGCTGGAGGAGACTCTTGAGAGTCCCATGACTGCAAGAAGATCAAACCTATCCATTCTGAAGGAAACCAGCCCTGAGTGCTCACTGGAAGGACAGATCTTGAAGCTGAGGCTCCAGTACTTTGGCCACCTCATGTGAAGAGAAGACTCCCTGGAAAAGACCCTGATGGCTAAGATTGAGGGCACAAGGAGAAGGGGATGACAGAGGATGAGATGGTTGGACAGTGTTCTCGAAGCTACGAACATGAGTTTGACCAAACTGCGGGAGGCAGTGGAAGACAGGAGTGCCAGGCATGCTCTGGTCCATGGGGTCACGAAGAGTCGGACACGACTAAACGACTAAACAACAACATTTATTTCCAGTGTATATTCTGCTTTTCCTCCAGGAAGCTCAAAGTGGTGTACACGAATCTCTCTCTCCCCACCCCCACCCCCATTTTATCTTCACCACAATCCTTTGAGGTAGGCCAAGTCAATAGAGTGTGCCTGACCTAAGGTCTTCTTGTGCACTACAAGGCCGAGTTGGGATTTGACCCTGGGTCTCCCCAGTTCAACATTCTGAAGTTGCCCTCTCCCTTTCCCTGCTTGGATGGGACACCTGTTTCTAATCACTGCTGTATTAAAACACAGAGCCATCAAAGAGTAGACTATTACTTCTCTAGAAGCTGAATCTCAAAAACGATGTGACTAATCGTGAACACTAATTACAGTGAACTTACAACTTCTCTTTTTCAAAGCAAGATGGTTTACTGCACTGTAGGAAAACAGAATTACCTTATCAACCATGAGGAAATGATCCACCTTTTCTCCATTTTCACATGTTAAGTCTCCAGTGTCTCTCACAGCTCTTGGCAGAAGATCCTGAACTTCCTGGGCAATTACTCCTGCTCACACAAAAAAATAAGAGAAGGGGTGCAATCGAAAGTAGAACATTTCTCACAGGGGGTCCCTCCTGTAAGCACTCCTTGTTGCTTTACCTACAAGCTATAAGATTTATTTTATTCTTAAGCACTGTAAATATTAATAAACAATGGATTACTGACTGCTATGGAAAACAGGGAGGACCTCCCTCCAAATGGAATGGAGTATCCTGAAAAAAGGACATGGCTTATTGATTTGAATTCCAAACAGTGGCATTCTACACTGCAATATTTTGTTGCAGATTCCCTTGTCTAGGTGCAATGCCTGTATGTAGTCCCTGATATAACCCAGGGGTCTATTCCTCCCAGTTCAGACCCTTGGCCCACCTGCACATTTTGTACCTTATTATTTACTGGAAGACAGAGGCACCCCAATTTTGGAGCACCTTCTCTAAAGAGGTTGACCCAGGTACCTACTATGAGGTGTTTCCTGTGCTAGGCAACCCCCTTTTTATTTTCCCCAACTTTCCAGACACTTTTCTGAACTTGGGGCCTTGTGTAAAGGTTTGCTGTTGTGTTCGCATTTGCATTTTAGGTGTTTTGTTCTTTTGCCCATTGCCCTGGGGATGTGATTGAAGGGCAGTCTAAAAAACACAATACAATGCAATTGATACATTCATTAATTGGATTACTGCGTTACGCTTGACTGCCAAGGCAAACATTGCAACATTATAAAGGAAGACGATGCTGGGGTGTATTCAAGATTATTATGCCTGAAGACCTGAAAACAACAGATGATTTGATGGAGTACCTGTTTCATGGATCTGGTTAATCCCCATAACAGATGCAAACTCGGGCTTGTAGTCGTATTCAACCAGCCGCATCTGTGCTATTCTTCTCAGCTGCTCATGCGTATCAACCTAATTGACCAAAGACAAGGCTTAGCGTGTTAAAATATTTAACACAGTCAAGTCATGTCAAAGGGCTTTCATGTGCACGTGCTTTTGAAGTCTGAGGTGGCCGCAGTTAATATGCCTCGTTGTTATTAAGCAGCTTTAATGCCCCCATATTCCAATTTGTATTTTGAGGCAAAGGGAGAGGCAGTACTACTTATCTAGAAAAAGAGGTGCAGGAACTCACCACGAACACCTCCCTCGTTCTCTTATAATGGCAATGGCACCCACCTGGGGGGGGGGAAAGCCCTAGGGAGAGGGTTTCCACAAGGTGGGGCACCCCATTTTTGCCAATTTCAGCTTACCTACTGAAATAATCTGTGCCATATCCCACACCATCCCAGAGGCTTTCTCAACCCTCAGGAGTAGCTTTCTGAGGATCACAGGGGGCTGAAACTGATAGGGCAGGTTGCTGAAAATTGGGCGCCCTGTTTTGTACAAGTACGGAAGTGCTTTCCACTAGTGCAAAACCACCACTGGATGCAACCCAGATACAGTCTTACCTTGGTTCTCAAACGCCTGGTGACTCAAATGTTTCGGCTCCCGAATGCCGCAAACCCGAAAGTGAATGTTCTGGTTTGCAAACATTTTTTGGAAGCCGAACGTCCAATGTGGTTTCCAAGTGAGTGCAGGAAGCTCCTGCAGCCAATCGGAAGCCGCGCCTTAGATTTCTAACGTTTTTGGAAGTCAAACGAACTTCTGGAATGGATCCCATTCGAGAACCAAGGTACGACTGTACAGACTTCAAAACGTAGTCAGGATAGGTTCCTTTAAAATATATGTGGGGGAACTATATGTTTTAAATGAATGGTGTGGATGTGACCACAAAGTAGGACGACTGAGACATCATCTAAATATAAATTAGCGAATTTCGTACTTTTTGTTCAGCGTCACCTCCCATTAAAAGGCTCAAGATGGGAAAAGATGGTAGAGCATCTATCACATGCAGAAACTCCCAAGTTCAATGACCAGCATCTCCAGGTGGGCTGGGGGAGATTCGGGCCTTAAACCCTGGAGAGTCGCTGCCAGTCAGTGTAGACAATACTGAATGAGATGGACCAATAGTCTGACTCCGTATAAGGCAGCTTCTTATGTTCCTCACTTCCCACTTAATGGAAATGATGGTGGCAACCCCTTCCCCATATAACTGCTGCCAGCCTGAGTTGGCAATACTGGCCTAGATGGACAAAATACTTTTATGCCGTATAAGGCACCTTCTTATTTTTTCCTTCCTCCCCATCCCTTCTAGCACACTGCTAGTTTTTTAAGGTATGAGCAAAAGCTATGAAACATCTGGTTACTTCGCAACGCAATGCCTGCCTCTCAGTCACCGTCTCCATGCGAACATGCGCTGCTGTGTTGGGAAATTACTTCCCTGTCTTGCTCACCTCCTGGATATTCTGTTTGGCTCGCCTGTCAGACGGATGCATGACTGCTCCCATAACTTTCATGTTTCCACAGACAACCAGGGCTTCATCTGGTGCATCTGTGTTAATTCCCACTCGACCGTGGCAAACGGCGGTTTCAGGAACATGTCCTCGCTGCCAGAGCGTATCGCTGTCATTCTCAAACTGTCCAGGGTTAGAGGCCTGAAAACATTTTCAGGTCAGTAGCGTACAAACACAGAACTCGTTTTCTAAGGGGGGGGGGAATTAGTACCATGCAAAATCCTTCCAGAGAAATGCACCCTCATGCTTCTTTGTGACACAGCAAAATTAACAGCTGAGTAAAAACAACCTCACCCAAAAGGAGTCGGTGTGTGTTGAAATACTTTAAAGATGCAACAGGGGGCAAGGAAGGGAAGACCTGAAGCAAACATCTGGTCCAAAATCACCTCACTGAATCTTATCAGAGAGGGAAGGGGGGCAGGATGGAGGATGGGATTGGGAGCATCTACTAAAGCAAAGTGACTTTCAAAAGTGCACAACTGATATTAGACAAATCTGGCTAGATAACAAGAAAAGAATCTGCAATGGCATAAATCCCCCAAAGGGGTGTTCTGGGGCATGGCCTGAGCAGGACAGGGCAAGTGTCCCAAAAAACCTGGGACATCCCATTTTTTCCTCTGAAGAGGATGGTGGCCATTTTGGGTGCCATGATCTCAGGCAATTTTCCCCTTTAAAAAGCAGCTTTACCGGGCCACAATATTGTGCAGCTCCCCCAAACGCACGTCTTTGGGCGCCGTGCCCAAAAAAGCACTTTCAGCGGGGATAATCGCAGTGTGAAAATGCACAAGGTCATGGCGTCCAAAATGGCCGCCATCCTTTCACAAGAAAAAGATGGCATCCCAGAAGATGGCGTCCTGGTTTTTGTCTTTGGTGTACCGGAAGGTATGAGAAGAGACTTGCACCTATTCCAAACCCTGTTCAGCTCAGTCATGTCCTAAAAACTCAGGCCCACCCTCCATGCTGTTTCAGCCAGCAATAGCCCCTTGCCAGAGGGTCCTGAAGGAAGCTTGGAACAAGGGTAAGAGCATAAATTACACTGGCCTAAATTATGCCCTCTTCCTGTTGTTAGGATTGCTCTGTCACCTGGCAATAAATTTCACTCAACTCAGCCAGATGTAATTTTGAGTAGACATGCCTAGGATTGTGCTGTAAACACTATAACATTTCACTGGAACATCTTACCATTCAGGGAAGTGGAATGAGAATGCAAAATTAGGGCAGGTGTTCAAAATACGACGATGCTGAGATTTTAGTGATTTATTAGTGTTTATTTTAAAAAAGATCAGTCAGTCAGTATGGAATTCAAGGATTCCCATTTGTATCCAAGCAAAACAGCACCGGGGGAAGCTTGCTTTCTTTTTAACCGTTCTCTGCCATCTGTAAGTATGTGGAGCCAAGCACCTCACAATTAGAGCATGATCTGATATGCCTGTTAACCACAACTCGGTGAGTAGATGGCTGAGTTTTCCCAGTATAGCAGGAAAAGCGGAGCAGAGCTTCTCTCTTACGGGCCTTTGCTGCACATACCAAGTTAAGCAGAGATTTCAGATGCATGAGATCTTATTAAGATTTTATTCCTCTTCAGGCATTCTTAATTTGTATCTGGGGTGGCAGGACTCTGCCCCCTCCACCCTGACCTTCCCACATTGAGTGGCATAGTCTGGAGATGGGGGATGGAACCAAGATCAGCTGTGTGCAGTTAGAATTCCCTCTCAGTCCATCCCAATCAACGCAGGAAGGTTGTGGTGGGTTGGTAAAGGGGTCAGGCTGAGATATGTGGTCTTGTGCCTCTCCTTGGATGCAAACCAAGAAGGCCTGAAAAGGGCTTTTGTTTACACGGCAGTCGTGGAATTTTTGGATGCTTGTTTTTAACTATTTTGCTTTTAGTTTGTTTTTAATTTAAAAAAAAATGATTTTACTGCATGGTTTTATATAGTTGCAAACCGATGTGATGTATTTCTAGAATGCAGCGATATATATCTTTTTATAAATACTTTTTTAAAATGCCAACTTTTGAATGAACATTTGCAACCCACGCTTTCGTGGTGATCGAAATAGTAAACACGGGTTATCCCGCTTTTATTCTCACAAACATCATGTGAGTTAGCCCAGGCTATGAGACCATTCCAGTTCCAAGGGCTGGATCCACTTGGCAGCCCCTTGTAATTGCAAGGACTTTTTAGCATCCCAACTTTCACAGGAATAAAATGGAAGATAAAACATGCTTCCCACTGCAAGCACAAAGATGGGGGAAGGGAGGAAGAGGTGGGGCAAAGAGTGTGAAACCATTACTGCAGCAGCAAAGCCACCCCATAAATCTCAATAGTAATACTGCGCAGCTGAGGTGAAGAGCAGTAACAAAACGCAGAGGGCCGTATCCGGCACTGGACCTACCCTGACAATGATCCTTTCCGAAACATGAGCAGCCACCAAATAAGGCTGGTCTTGACTGACGGCGTACAACCCAGCAACTAACATGAAGTACCTAAATAGAATGTTGTTGTTTTTTAAATTAGAAAATCATTTCAGGCATTAAAAAAAATCACAGACATGGCCAATAACTCCGGAAACAAAGGGGTGTGCGCCTCAAAAACAGAGAAGCTTCCTGTACTCTGTCCAAGACTTACATTACAAGGATGCTAATGCTGTCCAAACCACACCAAAGTTGGGATTTCCCTTTGAGTAAGGTTGCAAGCCGAAACCCACTTATCTGAAAGTCAGTGCTATTGAGTCAATAGCACTTACTTCTGAGTAGACATGCTTAAGAGCTTGCCTGACAAAGTCTCTCTCTCTCTCTCTCTCTCTCTCTCTCTCTGCCCAGCCCCCAGGGGATCCCACACCTGAAGCTGGGATTTACTTTTGAGTAAACATACTGTGACACACCACCCCAATCTCTGAGCGGTGTGAGATTCCAGGGTCTTGTGTCTTTACCAGGGTCTGTGTTTGGACAATGAGGCACAACAGAGATTGCGATGTCTTTATGATATATGGTTTATTTACACATATGTACAACCCAGTCAGTGGAAGACAGGAGTTCCTGGCGTGCTCTGGTCCATGGGGTCACGAAGAGTCAGACACGACTAAATGACTAAACAACAACAACCTGAGCCTAGATAGTGAGAGTGCAGAGCATTCAGATCCCAACAGGGTCTTGTCCTTCTGCTGCTGTAGCCTCAGATTCCAAGAGATCCCCAAACATTGTGTCTGACCTTCTCTGCAGCATGAAACAGATAGCCGACCTCGTGCTCCTCCCCTGTCCAGCTTGCAAAACTGACACCTTTTCCTGTTTGCTTACATCTTTTTCCACTGCATTCTGCCCCCCACCTTCCTGACACTCTGGCCTTTTGTCTCTGTTAATTATCTCTCACCTCCGAGAGGGGCTTTCACCATTTGCCACCAGGGCCAGAGAGTCTCTGCTAATGGCCTTCTTTGTGCTATTTTAATGGTTCTTCTCTCCAGGCAATGACTTCATCAGGAAGCCAGCCTGTTTCATGTTTTAACATGACTTATATTTTAACATGCTAAATTCAGGCACCCCGGAATTAGAAGTGGGGTCCAGGATTAGAAGGAGACACCAGGCACCCCACAAACTTATAACAATACATACACTAAGGTTGCAATCCTAAACCTACTTACCTCAGAGTAAGGCCCATTATTTCAATGGAATTTGCTTTAAGTAGACATGTTTAGGATTGTGCTGTAAGGCTGCACATGCCGTATACATTAATTAGACAATAGATATTCATTGTTCTGAACAGTGGGACTACATGTGCAAAGGCTTACCTGGGCGTAAACCCTTCTGCATTGAATGGGACTTCTGAGAAGTAAGTTTCACTGAGTTCAGTGGCGCTTGCAAATTACGTCACACTTTTCCCATAGATTTTAATAAGCCATGAGATGTGTGTGTATATACACACACACAAATCTATATGAGAGATATTCATGGACCAGAAAAAGAAGTAAGATAACAGAGGAGCTGAAGAGTAATGAGCCTTAAAACATAATCACATGGTGAAATGTGTGAAATGCTTGCTGTCAAATGCAATACCTTTGGTCAGGGTTAGGTTTTCCTTTCTTCCTCATATTATTGGCTGTTGTTTCACTAAAGTGCAATCGTGCCAAGGTTACTTTGGTCACCTGGTCTCCTGGCAGATCAACTCTATAGCACAAAAGGGGGAAAGCACACAGATTTCAGTTTAACTGTTAATTCACAGCAAATTTTCCACAAGGTGCCTAATAAGTTAAACTCTCAGTCCTTAACAGAGGTGAGCATTCGCCATCTATGTAGTGCACAGAATTTTTTAAAATAACTTGTAACACACATGCACTTCAAAGAGAGAAACCCCTAATTTGAGCTGGCAGTGATAATAGGTGACTTTGCTCCCCACTTCCCGCACCCCAATTTACACTGCCTCTCTCAAGTATTCACCTATTTACATTTGTGAAAAGATGTATATTGCGTGGTATCACCAGATTATTGACAGATAATTGGCAAGACAATTTGTGAAGACTCATTTTTGGCTAACGCTCTGCTGAATCTTCTTACAGCTAGATGCCCCCAGATCTCAACAGTTTTGGATTCCTTCCCTGGTGCTTTCCATCTCCCAAATGATATATCCCTCACCTCAAATACTCCTGAAGTGTAGGTGGGTTCCCATGATGCCAGACACAGTGATAACAGCAAGAACCTTTATTTAACTACATAACTGGGAAACAGGGGCAAAGCAGCTGCTTATATACATTCCTGAAAGCCTGGGCCACTCCCACACAAAGCATGATTGACAATTTCCAAGCTGCAAATAATGACTCAGAGTTCAAGGGCCAATGGCAGAGGCCCAAATCCTGAAATGTTTTGTGATTGGGCATCATGTATCGAATCAGAACACAGGAGCTCAGAATCCTTAGTCCAGACTCAAGCTCAGACAAACACAGACCACTGAATACATAACACCTCCCAGGAAAAAGATATGTCTTTGGCCTTCTCATCAGCAAAACAATGATGTAGGCAGAGGAACATGGAAACAGGACTGGAGCTGCCCAACAAGTATCAACGGCAAAAGAGCCCAACTAGACATGATAGCATTCCCAAGATTAGCAATTGCATGAATGGCTTGCTAAAGTAAACAGTGGGTCTGGTGGGCCCAGTTTGGACCCTGGCAGATTGCAATGGTGGAAGGGGGTCTTCAATGCCCACTGAAGTCCCAGCCCAGATTGGGCCCGAGGAACACCCATACAATTCACTTTTTTAAAAATCACTTAGGCAGTTACTAATTGTGGTGAATGATGTCACATCTAATTTGGTCCCCAGGCTACGCATGCAGGATCTCAGCCTACCCACAGGGAGGAAGTTGTCCTAAGGAAAGTTGTTCTATGGAAAAGTGAAAGGATGGAGCTCATTGATACTCACACTTCCTAATCCTAAAGGTAGTACTGCCACGATCCACGGATTATTGACAAATACAGACAGGCAGCACCTGAAGACGCTAAATTTAAGAATATTTAGATCCTGTGTGTACATGGGTGGTGCTGTGGTTTAAACCACTGAGCCTCTTGGGCTTGCTGATCGGAAGGTCGGCGGTTCGAATCCACACAACAGGGTGAGCTCTCAGTGCAAGGAGATAATAGGTACTGCTGCAGCGGGAAGGTAAACGGTGTTTCCGTGCACTCTGGTTTCCATCATGATGTTCTGTTGTGCCACATAACGCAGAAAGGTGTCTGTGGACAAACGCCTGCTCCCTCGGTCTGAAAGCGAGATGAGCTCCACAACCCCAAAGTTACCTTTGACTGGACTAAACCATCCAGGGATCCTTTACCTTTACCTTTTCTGACTCAGGAGTGCACAGCCTAAACAGTTTAGTGGCTTTAGCAAATGAATAGTTAGGATGTTCACACATGCCCTTGTGCCATGCTGAGAAAGCATGGGTCTGAGCAGTTTTCTGCTTTACCTGCCCTTTTTAGGCAGGGGTGGCTGGGTGGGTGGGGGTCTGGAATGGATAGGTGCCTAGACTGGAAATCGAAAGGAGCCACTGTGATATTTCTGAATAGAGTGGGATATGTCCAATGAATAACTGAATGGATACATATACTTACTTGTTAAGTACAGTGTTTTATTATGCCTTTATATTTGTTGGAAGCATCTAAGAGTGGCTGGGGCAACCCAGTCAGATGGGTGGGGAACTACTACTACTACTACTACTACTAATGATAATAATAATGGGTGGGTTTTGGTGTTTTGTGGTTTGTATGTTTGTTTTTACTTACTGAACAGGGTAGAAAGGTTTTTTGCTTCGATCAGGTTGAGATTGCTCAATGATGATTACTTGATTGGGAGCTTCCATCTAAATACGGAATAACAAGCAAAGGAGGTTTAAGACTCTCTCTCTTTCTCTCTCTCTTTCTTTCTCTCTCTCTCTTTTTAAAAACATACCAGAAGGTTTCTGTACATTAAGCTTATCTGGGAAAATACCTGACCTCCATCCAGGCAAGAAAGAGAGAGGATCAGAGTTCAAGGGCATATTCCAGCCACACAAAAACATTCAAGGAAGGTGTGAAGCAGGGCAAGTGGTGGGGGAAGGCCTGGGAATAGTCCCAAGGGTTTGGAGGGCTGTATTTGCTTCCCCATACCTGCCCTAAAAGGTAGCATAGAAGTATCTGAAATAAATTAATAATTAAAATGAGAAAGAAAGAAAGAAAGAAAGGAAGGAAGGAAGGAAGGAAGGAAGGAAGGAAGGAAGGAAACACACTTACCTTAATACCAAAAGTTTTCAGGTAAAACGTTTCTACCGGCTTCAGCCCCAAATGGGTTTTGATGAATTTTGGGTGTCCAACCACTCGAATGTAGACTGTGATCTGGAAATGGTTTTTCTTCTGACAAACAAAAGCACTATCTGCTGTTGAAAAATTAAATCCTTTGTTTGTAACAATGTAATATCCCACATCTGGGCTGGAAAAAAACACACACAAGAGGAATCTGTAAGTGGAATAATATTTCAGCAAGTTACGTCACTCAGACAATATCATAGATGTGGATACTCCAGTAACAAATTATTCATGTCTTTTTGGAGGGAGATCTTTGAAGTAATAATGGATTCTTAAATTGGCTTTTAATGCTGTACAGGAAATAGGCAGAGATACCTAAACACCTCAAGTAGTTCCTTTTTAAGAGAGTGATTGGCTCCTTCCAGGGCTGACAGGAAGCAGAAAGGAGCACTGTTGCTCACGATGCCTTTCTGACGCAGTGAGCGAAAAGGCTACTCATTTTTCTCACGTAACCCTCATTTTAAAACATCCAGTCAGATGTTTATGACGGTCAACCAACCAATAAGTCAAAATACAAATATGAAATGCAAAATCACAACCTCAGCAAAAAACCATTTATTTTAAAAAATGCCTAGCTAAGAACTAACAGCCACATCAGGTCTAAGAGACATGCTGATGTTTTGCACCTGCTCATTAATAAATGTAGTAGCACCCTCAAGGAAGATACTCTTTAAGTATACTCTTTAAGATTGAGGATATTTTGTGTGCCATCAAACCCCCTGATGTAAATGACAGTAAAAAAATACACGGAAGATTGTTTCAACCTCCTGCAGTATTATCCAGTATAATTTTTCTGGGTAATAAAAAATTTCCTACATTTGTAGTCTCACGAAGATTAACACCCACTTCAACTGATCTCCAGTTTAGTTAATATAATTATGTTTCTTTCTACTTCCTCGTGTCTGTTTCACTTAATGCTAGCAACAGATCTGGAAAACTGATGCCCCGGTGTTTCCAAATTGCTTCTTTGTCCTAAAATCATAGGCATAACCTGAGACTTGCAGCAGGCTCTAGCAGGGACAAATCTAACCAAGTCTACAATCTCCCATCTTGAGACAGCAACAGCATCAAGCCCATTTTTGTCCCTCATTTGCTTATTTGTTTCCCTCCCCAACCTCCATCCCAGTCCACGGCTGTGTGTCATATCCCAGCCTGAAGAAGAATTCTGGAGAGCATTAAACCTACATCTTATTTTGTGACATTTTGTTTTGGTCCTAATAAATATACTGTGCAATGTGGATTGGGAGGTGGTCACTACGCAGAGTCACTATGAGGATGGCTGCTATCATGTGCTGTTTAAACGTGGGTTTCTACCAAATGTGAGACCCTTCTTTTCTGCTATCGTGTATGGGGCAAAGGTCTCAAAGGCCGTCTAGAAAGAAGCAGTGAATTAGCTATCTAGGACAATTGTGCCTCTCTGTCTGCATCTCTGTAATACATCACTTGAAAGCTACAGCCCAAGACTCAAAGTCTCCATTATATAGAGTCACTTTGTTCATTAAAGGAAGGCTGAACAATGATCCCTTGTCACATGGTACTGTGGAAACCCACTTTCCTCCCAGCAAATGAAAGGTGGCTCTTTGGGATTCCTCCTTTCACTTGGCCATTAGAGGTTAAAATGTATAGACTTTTGCAAAAGATTTATTTCAACTTTATGGTCTCTCGGGATGGTGAAGAAAGAGCAAATGGTCCCTTTTGAGACCTGTCACTTTCTTCATGAGATTTTAATCTACGGCAGAGAAGAGAACTGGCTCATAAATAATGTCCACTCACTTCTGGATTTGTAAAGCATGTAATAAAGAGGATATCAAGTTTCAAAGATACAAATGCCTGAAAATCAGGCTTTATCTGCATTTTTAAATGTTTCTTCTACATTGGAAAGTAAACATTTGGTAGTCCCAATATTACCCTGCTGGTGAAAGAATAGATATGCCCGGTTTTGGACAACGAAGACAAAAAAATATATAGACTGAGAAGATATTCACTACTTCTCTTTTGTATTGCGGACACCTCCACCCCAGCCCAGTCTCATATCCTTGTTCATATTATGGGACTACTTCTAAAAAGATGATAAAGCAAGAAATGGTTCTAACATTTGTGCATTTCCAAGAAATAAAATAAGGCATTCATAGATATGAAAGACTTTGGACTACTGCACATTTCCAAGAAGTAAAAAAATGTATTCATAAAGTAAGACTATATTAAGTTTTAAGCAGTAACACTTAAGCATAAGTACATTGACAGTCACTTGATTTCTAACAAGATGCAAGAGCATCAAAGAGATGCCATGGTGCCTTGTTTTCATGACCCCAGCAAACCCCCAGGTGCTTATTACCCCTGATTTAAACGTAGGTACCCCTCACAGTTAGGTCCAGTCGCAGACGACTCTGGGGTTGCGGCGCTTATCTCGCTTTATTGGCTGAGGGAGCCGGCGTACAGCTTCCGGGTCATGTGGCCAACATGACTAAGCCGCTTCTGGCGAACCAGAGCAGCACACGGAAACGCCATTTACCTTCCCGCCAGAGCGGTACCTATTTATCTACTTGATTTACACAATACTAAAAATGCAGCTCAAGCTACCAATCAGTTTCAGGTGAAAAATGTCTCTTATTTTCAAAGAATAAGAAGAGCAGCATTGCTGGATCATACCAGAGGTTCATTTCGGCCAGCATCCTGCTTTCTGCAGATGCTTCTAGGAAGTCCACAAGAAAGCATGACAGCAATAGCTTTCCTCATCTGTTCCTCCCCAGCAAACAATATTCAGAGGCAGCCTCCATGCTGAATGCCTGGAACTAACGGACGCAGGGTGTCCATGTCAGACATGAGGACAGAAATTAGAAATGCCATCTTGAAGGTGGCTCACCCAGTGGACACACAGTCAAGCTGAACAGTTTAACTGGGTGTGCACTGGGTGAGCCACCTGCTTGGCCTTCCTCATGTCATCTGGATGTCTGGCATGGACACCCAGCACCCATTAGTTCCCCTTAATCCTTCCCTCCCCAGCTGTGCACACTCCCCAAGAATGCCTCCTGTGTTGCAAGGTCCCAGGTATAATTCTCACATCTCTTAAGTGGGGCTGGGGGTAACTCCAGTGTCTGAAACCCAGCAGAAGCTGTATGAGCCAGGCAGACTGTTTTCTGACTAGGGACAAGGCAGCCTACAACCTAAGAACCCAATCATTGTTTTATTCTGTTTTTAACCTGTTGGGAGCCACCCAGAGTGGCTGCGGAAGCCCAGCCGGATGGGTGGGGTATGAATAAATTGATCATCATCATCAAACCCATTTAAATTTGTAGTTCAAACATCAATTCAGTCTCTTCCTCAAGAGAAGCCTGTGGTGTCTATTTCTTTCTAATCTGAGCATCACAATGAAAAAAGGATGCAATGTGATAAGCACTTACAGCTTTTCATAATTATGGTTGAACAGGCTGCTCCAGGGAGATATCCGATATGGTTGCCAGGCAAGGGACGGATAGGATTTTTCAACAGACACTACGTTCTGCACACCACTGTCATACTCTTGTATGTCAGGAGAAGAATCCTTTAGAGTCACTGGAAGGAGATCAGACCATCAGCAGAGCTGTCATATTGTTGTTTCGGGGATTCTGTCAGGCTAGAAGAAGCATGCCTTGGCCCTGTATACCCAAGGGAGCGTCTCCACCCGCATTGTCCAGCCCATTGTCCAGGTCTGAGGGCCTTCTGGCAGTTCCCTCACTACGAGACATGAAGCTACAGGGAACCAGGTAGAGGGCCTTCTTGGTAGTGGCGCCTGCCCTGTGGAATGCCCTCCCTTCAAATGCCAAACAGATAAACTATTTGACTTTTAGAAGATGCTTGAAGGCAGCCCTGCTCAGGGAAGTTTTTAATGGTTCATATTAATATTTTGCTGTGAGCCACCCAGAGTGGCTGGGCTAACCCAGTCAGATGGGAGGCATATAAACAATAAATGATGGTGATGGCACCTTGAGCCATAGAGACGCTCTTGTACCATCTCTTGCTTGTTGTGCTTGGATAGCAGTTTACAGGATTAGAAGTGCAGAATCTTGGGGCCAAAGAAGATGATACATTGTGTGTGCAATTGCATGCGGAGCGCAGCACCCTCCTAAACAATTATGCAAGAACAAGCACTTTTGGCTGTACAACTGAAGTTCCTTTCCCTCTGTGCTCCCCACACACTCCTAAAAGATGTCCTGGGTTTTCTCCCAACGCTCCAGAGCAGATTTAGGGAGTGCACAGGATTTGTGGTGAGAGGAGAGGGAGGGGAAGTTCTGCTGCCCAGTCAAAAGTGCTTGCACTAGCAGAACTACTGAACTGAATACCATCCAAGGTGTCCAGATCTTTCTGTTCAAACAACAGTGGTGCAGGGGCAGGGGGTGGGCTGATTGGCACATTGGATCAATGACAGCTCCCCACCTGGTGCAAATGTGTATATTCATTGGCATTACACATGGGACATGTGAGTTGCACTGAACACAGCAAACAAAAAAATAAAATTAAGGAAATAAGTCCAAGCCTTCTCATACAGGCCCCTCAGGAATGTCAGTGATCAGTTTGATAGGTAGATAGACAGATCTTGGCTCAAGGCTGGGTGTTTTTAGTTTCATGCTTTCCATCTTCCAAACCCACTATTATATTACGGTACTTTAAAGTCTCAGGTGTATGGAGGTGGACATAGCTGTGCTGAAGGATGATCCCCACCCCTACCCACAAAATATACACTTCCACTTACTTTGTCCAACATTGCCAGACCATGTTTGAAATTCTAGAGGGTCCTCCAACATCTCAGAGTGCTTTCTCTTTTTAGATACCAAGGAAAGACTAGAAGGAACATGAAGGCTGATACCGATTGATTAAAATATTAATGCAATATTTCAAAGAAAGATCATGTGACAAATGCAATCCTAAATTCTATTGAACACAATGTAACTTAGGTAAAGGTAAAGGGACCCCTAACTGTTAGGTCCAGTTTCAGACAACTCTGGAGTTGTGGTGCTCATCTCGCTTTAGTGGCCAAGGGACCCAGCGTTTGTCCGCAGACAGCTTCCGGGTCATGTGGCCAGCATGATTAAGCCGCTTCTGGAGAACCAGAGCAGCGCACAGAAACACCGTTTACCTTCCCGCCAGGGCGGTACCTATTTATCTACTTGCACTTTGACATACTTTCAAACTGCTACGTTGGCAGGAGCAGAGACCGAACAACGGGAGCTCACCCCGTCGTGGGGATTCGAACTGCCGACCTTCTGATCGGCAAGCCCTAGACTCTGTGGTTTAACCCACAATGCCACCCACGTCCCTTACAATGTAACTTACTTCTGAGTAAAACTTGCACAAGACTGAGCTGTTCAACATTTAAATGCTGCCACCTTGTGGAGAGATTGAAATCTTATTTTGTGCGCCTTAACAACATGAATTTGCTGACAGCAGCTCTTTCCTACAAAAGGAAATGCCTCTAAAATATGACGAGCCTCTGAAAGATGCAGCAGAATTTTTTCTTTCTTTTTGCAGGTGAAATTTAAATCAGAATCATTTTTTTCTTCACACTTTTTCTTGCTAATCCATGAGGAGGAAAGCACTGGTTACAGTAATATATATTTTAAATTACCTGGGGTTGTGAGAGGGTCTTAACAGGGAGCCATTTGAAGCATGATTATTTGATGGCATGGAGTTATTCCAGGGAGTTGGCGCATTGCCTGTCTTCAGACTGAAGTCATGGTGTGAACCACACGCTTGTCCGATAGCATTTGTCTTACAAGAAGTCTCAAAAAAGTTGCAAGGGAACTTATTGGTGGGCCCTACAGAAGGGAGAGGTGCTGAAGGTCGCAACCCGGTAGGGTATGAAATGTCATAATACGTGACTGTGGAGAGAGAGAGAGAGAGAGAGAGAGAGAGAGCAGCATTGCATCATCCAGCGTCACCACTTCAGATGAACACTGGACACCCAATCCAGAATGCCAACCAATCAGGACTCACACAACCAACCTTTGGTCTGTGGTGGAGAGTAGGGCTCTGATCCTGAATCTGGCGGGGAGTCTGGGAGCGTGTTTTGCCTAGAATTGGAGTCGAGAGGGGCAGGGCAAAAAAAAAAAAAAGCCATTATACAGATAACAAAAATGTATCTTCCAACTTTTCTTCTTCTCTTTTTTCTTTTTTTTCTTCTTCTTTTTTCTTTTCTTCTTTTTTCCTCTTCTGTTCCTACTTTCATGTATATGTGCTTATTTGAAATATATATGTATTTGCAATATTTTGCTTATCTTTTGTAACAATTATGTTAAATAAACAATAAAATTATTAATTAAAAAAATGTAGTTTCTATGTGTTTACAAAAAAAACCCCACAAACCTATTTGTTAGCTATGCCAAGCCATGCATTTTAATGCAGATCTACATGTTACGTGAGCTATTAAAGTCTCGTTCTGTGAGGATTCCTGATAGGTACAATAAATGTGTGGGCTAGCCCAACCCCCACGGATGGCATGATAACAAGTACTGAAGAGAAACTGTGGTTAATAAGATCTGCAATTGATTCTTGGGAAATTATGATGATAGCAGTGTTCGTACTCTTTCCTTCTCCTTCCAAAGTGAGTCTGCTATTCTAATGACCGCTGACACTTGTCTTACCACATATTCAAAGAGTTGCCTATGGAAGAGGAAGCAGCACAATCCAGAACTGATAATATTGCCCCTTTCTCGGCATTGGCATGGCTCCATTAAACAGGAGCTTGGGGAACATTTGCTGTTCTCTCCCTCCCATTCCACAGGATATTTCTAAGTATCAATTGAGCCGTTGAAGATATTGGCTCAGGTCCTAAGTTCACAGCGGAAAGTTTCCCATTCCTTGCTTGCCACTACGACCTCTCCCCGCCACAAGCCTATTCAGAATGTATGGGGCTCTCTTGAACAATGTGGGGTGGAAGACCCAGGAGCAGGGATAAAATAAATTTCATTGCTGTTTAGCAGCCATTCATTTGTCATTTGTCCTTGAAAAACCTATTTTGAATAAGGCATGGATCTTCACCCTGTTTCAGGAATGGCGCCTCATCCCTGCCATTATTTGTGTGCGATTTTAAGAAATTGGTGGAGGAGGGAAATGATGAGGAAAACTTTTCATACTTACAGGCTTCCAAACGATTCAAAGTCACTGTCTATGAATTCTTCCAGCATCCGTGTATCCACCAATGCATTCTCCAATGCTCTGTGCACATCTTGCCCTTAAGATTAAACATGGAGAATTTGGGCTATGGTTTTCGGCTGAAAAAAGCTGTTATATATTCATTTTTTCGGTCACCACATAAATCTCCACCCCCATCATTCAGCCCAGACATTGAGGTCCAGCTCCGAGGACCTTCTGGCGGTTCCCTCCCTGCAAGAAGTGAGGTTACAAGGAACCAGGCAGAGGGCCTTCTCAGTAGTGGTGCCCGCCCTGTGGAACGCTCTCCCATCAAATGTCAAGGAAATAAACAACTATCCGACATTTAGGAGACATATGAAGGCAGCCCTGTTTAGGGAAGTTTTTAATGTTTGATGTTTTATTGTTTTTAATATTCTGTTGGGAGCCGCCCAGAGTGGCTGGGGAAACCCAGCCAGATGGGCGGGGTATAAATAATAAAATTATTATCATTATCATTATTATATTATATTATTATTCTGACTTCAAAGATTCCAGGCACAATAGTATTATAATGTCAAAGGGGGAGGGGGACTACAGAACTGCAAGCAGCATAAATATATATATTAGTTGTCCAATACTAAAAAACAAATTGAATTATTCTTTATATAATTATAGCTTAGAAAATATGGGATGTGAGAAACCAGAGGCCTTTCTCCTGGGCATGGTCGGCCAATTGGTGCCAAAGAAGGATAGAACTTTTTTTATGTATGCAACAACAGCAGCAAGAATACTCATTGCGAAGTATTGGAAGACACAAGATTTGCCCACCCGGGAAGAATGGCAGATGAAGTTGATGGACTACATGGAACTAGCGGAAATGACTGGCAGAATCCGAGACCAGGGAGAGGAGTTGGTGGAAGAAGATTGGAAAAAGTTTAAAGACTATCTACAGAAATATTGTAAAATTAATGAATGTTAGAAAAATGTTGAAGTTATATGGCTTTAGTAGAAATATTATAAGGAATTAAGTACAGATAGGTTAATAGAGTTAAAGGGGGGGGGAAATAAGGTTAGAATGAGTTAAGATAATTATAGGATAGAAAACAGAGGAAGATGGAAAGGAATTGCTGAAATAATTAACAGAAGTGGAATACAAAAAGGGAGGTGTGAGGAGGTCGTGGAAATAAGTGAATGAAAGATGGGATAATGAAATTGTCTGATTTATTTTATTGTCTTTGTCTTGTTTTGTTAATTTGATGTGTTGTATTGTATTGTTTTTCTTTTTCTTTTTTTCTTCTTTTTTTAGTGTTTTTGGAAAATAATAATTATTATTAAAAATAATAATAATAATATGGGATGTGGCTAATGTGAATATGTGTGAATATGTGGCTAGATTTCAGGAAGATGTTTTGATTAATATGCATGTAAAGTTGCTGCCAGAGGATTTTAGGGTTTTCTGAACAAGATGACTACAAAGTTCATTCTCTTATCATTGTTCATTTAAATATTTTTAAATGTACAGTCGTACCTCGGCTCCCGAACGCCTTGGGAGTTTAATGTTCTGGCTCCCAAATGATCAAAAACGGGGAGTGTTCTGGTTTTCTAATGTTCTTTTTTTTGGAAGCTGAACAACGTCTGGCACGGCTTCCGCTGTTGTTTCCAGCATATCTGCGCAATCGGGAACCAATTGGAAGCCGCATCTTGGCTTCCAAACTTTTCAGAAGTTGAATGGACTTCCGGAACAGATTCCGTTCGACTTCCAAGGTACATCTGTACTAAGATTTTTAAAATTAAAACCCCACACGCATGCAGTGCTGGATAAGATCACAGCTTGAAGCTGCATACAGTATGGTGAACATTCATGTGTGTTAAAACCTCAGGTTCAAATCTCTACTCAACCATGAAGTTTACTGGATGGGCTCACACCAGTGATCATTTTTCAACCTAAACTTCCTCACAGGGTTGTTGTGTTGTAGTCGTGCATGGCACTAGACCTAGACTACCTGGCACCCACACTACCATTCTTTAGGCACCAGGAAAACACGAAAATATTAGCCATTTTAATGGCTTTATGTCTGCTCTGAGGTCTGTTTACATTTTCTCTGTATTGAGTTACAGTGGTACGTGTTACAGACGCTTCAGGTTAGACTCCGCTAACCCAGAAACAGTACCTTGGGTTAAGAACTTTACTTCAGGATGAGAACAGAAATCGCATGGTGGCAGTGGGAGGCCCCATTAGCTAAAGTGGTACCTCAGGTTAAGAACAATTTCAGGTTAAGAACAAACCTCCAGAACGAATTATTAACCCGAGCTAGCACTGTATTTGATTTTATGCTTCATATACTCTGTAGTCCCTGTAGTCCAAATATGAAGCATAATATATAAATATCATAAATGAATCAATCTCAAGTTCCTGGGAGGTAAGGCAGGATATAAATATATTAAAATATGTTCTTTTCTACTCATTCACATGGCCCCACCCACTCAATACATGTGCTCTCTTTGGAAATGAAATTGGGAGAATAGCCCAGCAAAAAGTCGTCTTTTGGTGTATATGAATAAGGAGTTATCAGAAGAGGCAATGAAAATACAACACACTCCCTTAGCGCAGACAAAACGTTCTTTTACTTTAGCCGCTGGCCACCTACCTTCGAAGAACTGTTGAAGAGCCTCATTTTCACCCACAACATCCATGGGCAAGTTGGAGGAGGAGGCAGTTTGCACCCCAAGCCACTTTGTGAGCGTTCAGACTTGCTCAGCTAGTTATGGAGAGCTGGCACTTTTTAGAAGGGCTGCCAACATGTCCAAAAAAGATCTCCTTCATTCTTGTCAAAACACACAGTCTACGTGTGCCGGAGAGAATCCAGGACTTTTGCAAATGAGCTCCTGGTCAGATTTGAAGGTTTCAGCACCAAATAAAGATCCTGCCACAACTTTAGGACCAAAACGTGTACAGTATTTTCCCCTTACGAAATGCTGATCCCAGTAAGTGTTTCCTTCCTTAAGGACCTTTACCCTTTAATTCCCTAGGCTATGCGGCATGTGTGCAATTAAGAAGGCAACAAAGGTTGCTTATCTCTTGCCTGTCCTTCCCCTGCATGTGTTTATGTATAGCTAAGGTAAATGCTATAAATGGAAGTATGATCTGATTTTTTGCCTTTTCTTTTCTTTTTAAAAAGCTAGTCTGAAGATGCAGCTATTTCTTGATGATGAGTCACGGTTCAAGATGGTGCTTGTTACACCACTGTGCTACAATGGTTAGACTGCTGAGCTAGGATCTGGGAGACCCGAGTTTAAGTCTCCACTCAGCAATGAACTTGGCTGGGTGAACTTGGGCCAGTCCCTCTCTCTCCACCTAACCAACAAACAGAGTTTATTGTGAGGGGGAGAAATATGTAAGCCACCTTGAGATCCTTGGAGAAAAGTTGGGGTATGAATGTTACGATACATTCATTCATAAATCTGTTTTGTCCCATTTCTGCATTAATCTGATTAAACAACAACAACAAATCTGTATAAAAGTTTAAAATGCTCATTTTTATCTCTATATACATTTCCAGACATATTTTATCTTAAAATACAGTTGACATTTGGGTTGTTGTTGTTTTCAAAGCCAACACCTGTATAGCAAAGCAAGTGTAAAACCTGAAGGATAATTATATTCCAGTCTGCATGTTTAAAGTCCAGGAAGTGAAATGCAGAACAAACTTCATTCTTCTCCACCCACAGTTGCACTTCTTATGTACTTTATGTATAGTACCAGAAACCTCCAATATATTTGCCATGTGTGTGACAGACCAACCTGTATTTGGTAAAATAGTTAATGAAGTTTCAGGCAGCTTTAATTCCTGTGCACTTTTTTGCAAAACAAGCATAACTTTTAACTTTGCAATTTGCAATGGACAAATTCAATGATATTTGGAATCCATTCTTACAAATACTGTAATAGGTCAACATCTGGTAAAGTACAATAACCACCTTGTAAAATATAGTTTTGGGTTTATTCCCTCCCCCCTTTATTTTCCCTTCTACACGGGTTCCCTTTCTCTTTTTCATTTATGTCTCACCATGTTTAGTGCACATATAATTATGTACCTTTTGAACTTTCAATAAAGATGTTTTTTTAAAAAGAAAAACAAACAAATACAACTTTGCAATTGTCTTTCTCCATTTTCCCTCATGGCAGGAAAACAGCAAAACATTTCTGTTGAGGAAGGGAACTCCAAGAAATAAAATCCAGCTTAAAGCCATGAAGCACACCTAGAGGAAATATGGGGAACCATGGATGGAACCAAGGAGAACCACAAACCAGGGAGCCAAATGCAGCCCTCCTGGCTGCTTCTCAAGCTGGTCCCAGGAACTCTCCCCAGGCCACACTCCTCACCAGCCCTGTTTTTTACCCTCCTTTTGGCCTGGCAGGAATGTGCCACCAAAACTCTGGTCCTACTTTTTGCTTATCTGGCTGGAGGACAGAGAAGACTGTACAAAGTTCGTATGAACCAGCCTACTATACGATGGTAAGACTCACATTCATTTCTCTGCCTGCTTTTGCGCCTGGCCCTGCCCACCATTGGCATGCGGCCCCCAAACTCCTTGTTGCTGGCATCTGTCTGACTCGGGAGACAATGGAGGAGTCCATCTTTGACACCCTGACTTCTTACAGTTATGCTTAATACACTATCATGGGATGGAGTTGTATTCTAGTCCTACTCAAGAGTAGACCCATTAAAATCAATAAATGTAACTCAGGATCATCCATTTCAATGAGTCTACTCTGAGTAGGGCTTTGGTGATTTTTTTGTAGATCAACTTGGATGATGGACATTACCAAAAAGGCTTCCCCATCATAAGGATATTTGCAGGGTACCATAAATAAAGATGGAATAGATGTGCAAAATACGCAGATTGCCTGTTTAGTTACACGATCCAGATTGAATGAAAAGCAGCATCTGGCCACTAGCAGCGTGGTTATGTGACTAAGCCTCTGGGGTATTTTAAACACGTTTATGGCCATACCCTGGTAAGTCATATGCCAAAAGCTCAGATGCCATGAAAAGATGGCACACAAGGCAAGGAAAAATGGTCCTCTAGTATTTGTCAGAGTTATTTTCTTTTTAAAACGCTGAATGGTTGGGATATGTACACCTTACCTTAAGTGCACAAGCATTTTATTTAGGTTCTGGAAGGAAATAGAACTGGTGCGTAAATTGTCACTCCTTGGAAGCTCATATGGGAAAAGGGGTGGAACACAGAATGGCGTAAGATAAGAAAACATACAAGATAAACCAAGAAAGTAAAAGATTCAATACAGAAAAAGAGGTCTGGGGTGGGGTAGGATGACTTGGGAGGACTAGCTGCTGAGAGCCACAAGAGGACAGAGGGGCTGCCGTACCGAGTCCTTGCTTGCAGGCTTCCTATAGGCATCCGGTTGGCCAATGAGAACAGGATGTTGGACTAAATGTCCAAAAGGGATTTCTCATGTTCTCCACTCAGAGGTAAAAGGCAAAGGATGCGGGTGGCGCTGTGGTCTAAACCACTGAGCCTCTTGAGCTTGCCAATCAGAAGGTTGACGGTTCGAATCCCCACGACGGAGTGAGTTCCCGTTGCTCTGTCCCAGCTCCTGCCAAACTAGCAGTTCAAAAGAACACCAGTGCAAGTAGATAAATAGGTACGTGCACTCTGGCTTCCGTCACGGTGGTCCGTTGCACTAGAAGCTGTTTAGTCATGCTGGCCACATGACCTGGAAAGCTGTCTGTGGACCAACGCCAGCTCCCTCGGCCTAAAAGCAAGATGAGCGCCGCAACCCCAGTCGCCTTTGACTAGACTTAACCATCCAGGGGTCCTTCACCTTTACCTTTTTACTCCAGAGGTAAACCCCTATAAAGATATTTCCAACCCCATAGACACCAGGTGGGTAATTTGGGATACCAACTTTGAAGCAGCTTTACTACTTCAAAGCCCTAGTTTTTGGTTGGTATTGCCATATATATTTACCCCAAGCTATTAACGCCAAGTTCCCTGTAGTAATGGGAATATCTGTGAAGAAACATGCCCCTCACAATTTGCAGAATGCGCACTTCTCCTTTTAAAGTACGACACCACAGGACTCAAGTTTGAGTTAACTTTTATTAAGTCGAAATCCTACATTATAAACTCTCCAGAACACAAAAATGAACACAATATTTGAACAGCATCAAACCTGCGTTTCTCAACTGTTAAAGTTACAATTGCTATAGTACACCTGAAAATCCTCTTGCCTTCATTTCAAACGAAACAATAATGTCCATCCTTAAATAAAATCATCTTGCTGAACTCCAAGAGTATGTGGCGCAATTTGCACAGGAGGAGAAGCCTTGGACCCTTTTCAAAATAAATATCAATGTTGTGACAAGGATTTTGAACCACTCCGAAGATATGTACATTTATGGAAGTGCATGCAAGCACCAGAAAAGTGTAGCAGTTACAGCTCTTCCTTGTAATATCCGAGTTTTGCCAGCGACATCTCTTTCCTCAGCTGCATAACCTCCCAAAACATCTGATCCACTGCACAAGAAAAAAAGAAAAAACCCAAGACATTTTAGTTGCAGCTAGACTGGTTGTAAAAAGGGAAATGGAAGCATGTGTTTACTATGGTGAACCGTTGGTGTAAGAAAGCTTTGTTCTTAGGCGTCTCAGAAAAATTAACTCATTATCTTAAGGCTCAACCAGTGGACTTTGCTGCCACTTGGAGGACTTCTGCCATACACATAAACAAACATATGAAGCTACCTATCCCAGTGAAGCATGACTTTATTGGGCAACACCTCTGGCATCTGACTTTGTTAGACTGTGTGGTCCAAATCATGCCCCCTTTCACCCAACCCTACTTAGCAACATTCTCTTTTTTTCATTTGCTGTCTTATGGCTCCCTCTCTGCTTTGTACTTACCTTGGTTTTCCACGAAGTGATTGTTTTCGTTTTTCCTTTACAGTGGTACCTCGGGTTACATACACTTCAGGTTACAGACTCCGCTAACCCAGAAATATTACCTCAGGTTAAGAACTTTGCTTCAGGATGAGAACAGAAATCGTGCGGCGGTGGCAAGGCAGCAGCGGGAGGCCCCATTAGCTAAAGTGGTGCTTCAGGTTAAGAACAGTTTCAGGTTAAGAACGGACCTCCGGAACGAATTAAGTACTTAACCCGAGGTACCACTGTAGTATGTTTAGCGTTATTTTACTAAGATTTACTAGTACTGCTTTCCTTTTAAAGTTTTAACAAAAGGTAAAACAGAAAACAGACATGTTGGGGAAACGCATCTCATTAAAAGCTCCCAGCTTTGTATACTTATCTACTTTTGTATACTTTCATTTTATTCCTTCCCTTTTACAGAGTGCAAACTGGTTGCAGAAGTCGTATGTGTCAGACAAAGACATTCCAAAACATTAACATACTAACATTAAGTATCATCCACTGCGCCAGGAACAGGGCCTTTTTTTCCTTTTCTTTTTTTGAAAGAAAGAAAGAAAAGGGAAAGGGTCTTGAGTTTTCAGATATTAAAAATTCTGTATTTAAAAATAATGCAGCTCGAGAGCATCGCTATAAAGCTTGGCTAATGCATTTTGCATTAGAAACACTACTAGCCTCTCATCGAACTGCCGAGGGTTCAATTTTCTTACCAATTTAATGTGGGCGGGCACAGGGGAAGGAGAGAACATATACCAGACTTAGTTCCAACAGGGGACCACCAAGCCTTTTTAGGCCCGTTGGTGCAACCTGAGTTTTCAGTTAGTTCCACAAGCAGTACCCACCTCCAATCACTTTTCCCCGCCCCCCACTGACACCTCTGAGAGATAGAAGGGAGGTGGGCAAAGATCAGATCCAGTGGAATTCATCTGAGCCTTGGAAAGCATTGAAAGCTGAAAGAGGAAGTGGAAAAGGGTGTCAATTCTTCCAACTTCCTCCTTCAGCTATGTGCTTTTCAAGGGTACCTTATGTCACCTTATGGCCAAGAGGCAGGGGAGGGGCTCAGAGTCTTTGTGGGCACCAGACAAGGATGCCATTATACCCACTCGTACCATGTTGGTGGCCCCTGAACCACAACTATAAATCATGTGTGCCTATGCGTCGCATTCCCCAAATTTACAACATTTGTTAGAATCCCCCCCCCCCAAAAAAATATTATTCTTTTCTGGTTATTTTAAAGCATAGGGAGAGAAAATTATCTGGTTACACGGCATCCAGTGATAACCTGGCAATTTATAATTTGGATTGCAATCTGTTTTTCGGGACACTTCCTAAATCTTACCAATAGTTAGGTGGTATAAATCTTATATTATTTCAGGCTTAGTTATGAAAAATTCTCCTCGCTAGCTGTATTGCTTCTTGTCCATATTCCCAAAGTACAGTTGTACCTTGGAAGTCGAACAGCTTAGTTTCAGAAAGTTTTGGATCCCGAACGTCACAAACCCGGAAGTGACTGTTCCGGTTTGCGAACTATTTTTGCAAGCCAAACATCTTACGGGGCTTCCGATTGGCTGCAGGAGCTTCCTGCAGCCAATCAGAAGCCACACTTTGGTTTTCGAATGTTTTGGAAGTCAGATTCCATTCGACTTTCAAGGTACGACTGTATATGGTATATGCATAGCCCTAGAGGTTGCAAAACAGAGATGGAGAAGCTCTGGCCCTTTCTGATGTCGTATGACTCCAACTCCCATCAGCTCAGTCAATGTTGATGGAATGATGGGAGTTGTAATCCCAAGCATCTAGAAGGCAATATGTTTGGGAAAGGCTGCTGTAGAAGTCTTTGCTCAATTAATGGAGACTCAGACCAGAGTCATTGCCAATAACAAGTAGGCAATCTTTAGGGTCGGAAAAGGCTCAACTACAGATAGACACAGAGCCTTCCTACAGTAAGTTCACCAGTAAGTAAGTAATTTTTGGTATTTGCATTAGACATAGATCTTTACTTACCATCTTGCTGCTTCACAAGCCCCTGTTGTATATACCGAATGTACGTGAAGAAGTTACATACAGATGTAATCTGCACAAGAGAGACGCAAGAGTTATAATTTAATATACTTAATTGTGCGCATTACACAACTGTCTGCTCCATGAGCAGAGTCAAAGCACAGGGGAACCCCAATACTTACCCTATATCTACAGAAAGGAGAAATATAGTAATAGTTGCTTGAGTCCCCCAACTTGATTCTATGCTTGCATGTTTTACTTTGTCCACTGAGAGCACATTTCCTGTATGGATGGAACAGAAAAGTAGTTTGCTTGTTCTTGTTTTGAAACCTATCTAAACTACATGAAAACTGAGGTCTGGTACAGTTGCCTACAATTAAACAAGAAATCTGCAATCTGATTTTACACCATGATTTACAGACACCACTTGACATGGTGAACGATAGTTGTGCACAGTGGTCATGCAGCTTTCACGCTCTCTTCCTCAATCGTGCTTATTGAGTCCCAAAATCTCCTTCAGAGAACATCCACCATAAATTCTCAGTCACTTAATGTGCCTCAGGTGGACAGCAGAGGTAAGGATATCCAGTAAGCCACTCTCAACTGTGGAATATATTGCTAGCTATAATTTCAAAGTCAAGACACAACAAATATTTAAAGACAACTGAAAGGACTGTGTTATCACTACTTTCAGCTATTATGTAGCAATATAAATAAGCACTTGCAGTATTTACAGAGAGAGAAAAAAAGCTATGTTATGCTAACTTTATAGTACACTGTCAAGTTGCGAGAATCACACTAATAAAGCCCGGGTCCCTTCCAATTCCATGATTCTATGGCAGTGACATGGCACTTGGTACTTTATACCAAAATGAATCAAGTTTGAGTAATCAGTTCCAAAATTTTAGCGCAGATTTGAAGTAATTTCTGGCAAAAAGGGCCAGAGCTGGCAAACCAGCTGTTGCAGGAAAAAGGGACTCCTAGCCACCAAGGCCACTTGAGCCTCCAAGACAGGTGAGGAGGACCCCCAAAGTACAGACCTGCTCCTTCCTAAGGAGAGTAACCCCACCCAGGTCCAGCTGCCTCCCCAACTCCTGAGCCTGAGAACTCAGGACACATAACACCAATTTTCCTCAAAGAAACTCAGGACAAGGCCTGCCCCACAGTTCACACAGCAGCTGCCATTTATGTTACTATGCCTGAATGCACATGCACATTGTGATTCTTTGGCACAAAACAGCTCACATGGAAAAGAAACCCTATGGCCCTTTTCTGCAGCACCCTATGACATTTCTGGCCCTTAGCAAACCTATGCCAGTCATTTCTGACAGGCAGGCAGACATTGTTTTGAAATAGCATCTTCATGTCTCTTGCACGATCCGATTCCACCAGTTTGAACATACTTTGGTCCTCCACATTCAACCGCAGAAGCTTTCACAAATCGAACAGGTTGCAAGCCAACTGGTTCAATGCTTAAGGTATTGTTTTCCACAGCTTCCAAGACAGCAGACGCCAGCTGAAAATGGAGCACGGAGTTTAGATCTGTTGAAATTTCCTAAAGATATTAAATACAAAGCATGCTACCCTGAAACAACTGCACACTTAGGCTGGATCTAGGCACATCAAAAACGTGTTTCGGAAAACACGCTGTAAACTTTGTAACGGGAAATCCTGTTGATGAAAGATGGGGCATTACAGCGCCATCTGGTGCCACAGTGTTATAACCCATATAAAACACTTTTTCTTTACTAAGGTAGCTGAACCCTGAGTCTCTGGACAGCGAGCAACCGGATGCCCGTGAAAAACCTGCAAAGCAGGTTTCTAGCAATTGGCATTCAGAAGCATTCTGCTCTGACCATAGAAGCAGAAAGTAGTAACCATCATTGTTAGTAGCCACTGATAGCTTTCTCCTCCACAAATTTGTCCAACCCACTTTTGAAAGCCATCCAAGCTGGTAGCCATCACTGCCTCCTAAGGAAGAGAGTTCCTGTATATGGTTCCAAAACGTTACCTCACTTTTTGAGAAGGTCAAACACGGAAAGATATCTTCCTGGTAGATTTTATCCAGGAAAGGGCATGCCCTGTCCATAGTGGGATCATCCTTCCAGGATCTGAATTCGTTATACAGAGCTAAGTCAGCCTATCATTAAAAAAACAAAATGAAACAAAATGAAAAAAAGAATCCAAAATTCATACTAAAGTCATATATTGCAGACGACACCCACATCTCCTTGAATACAGAATCTACATGACTATACAGACAGTGATAAGAACCCCTAAGTCCCACTGATTTACACATATTTAACATGGGTAGATTACACCCTAATACCACAGCTATAGGCGTCAAGTTGCACAAAGGTTATATTTCCCTCCTTGTTCAATCACTAACTAGGGCATTGGTTACCTGCCAACATCTGCCTTTGCTTCTTAACCTCAGCTCATGCTCTTGAGACGAACTCACATAAGGGTGCAGGTATTCTAAATTTGCACGCCTTATTTTCTTTGAGCACACAAAGGAAATAAATATGGAACACCTGATACAAGCCAGTTTTATGAAGTTCACAACGATAAGAAATATTCTCTTTGTGGGTCACTCTAAAGACCTGTTTAATGGGGTAAGGGAGCTGAATTTAAAAACAATTGAAGCAGAAGACAGTGCTTGAAGGCAATCCTTTAGGCAAAATGTACACATCTTTTTTGAGGGGGAACAGAGTGATCTGGCCACAGTTAGGCAGCCGAATTAACAAACTGTTCTTTGGAAGAGAAATGCAAATGCTTCGTTCCATTGCCTCAATGGATGGTATTGCCTTATGGCAGCTTCCAAGTGCCTTATGGCAGCTTCCAAGTGAAGGTGTTTTGATGCAGAGCTACAATACAAACAAACGTGAAATACCTCTTTGCAGTCTTTCACAATTGGCTGCATCATGGCGACATCCTGGTTGCTGACCCCCATCGCGCTGCTTGTACTCTTGTTCCTCGCATGGCCTTTTTTGAAGGGTGTCTTTCCGCTAGATTGAAGCTCTTTCGTGGGCGACGTCGGAGAAGTGGACAGCACTAACGTTTTCAGGGCTGCTACTTCGGCCTGAAGGACATCAATCTAAACACGTATGAAAGAAAAGGAGAGACAAAATAATTGATTGGAAATAATTGATTGGAAAGCAAGCAAAAGCTGCTTCTACTACAGCCACTCAATTTATGACAAAATCCTTCATGGAATAAAGTATTTTGTAGCCAAAATGACCTGAAGTAACCAAGGGACCTAGCCCCAAAGACCTAGGATTTCACTCGCCAGTAAGACGCCAGAAGAAAGCCTATCCATTCAGAACTCTGCATTAGCAATCTTCATATATTTGAATTAGTTTGGGGTTTGCTTTTGGATAATTCGACAAGAACACTCTGAGGCATTTCTGAATATGAGTAACTTGCGTGATGCCTTATTGGCAGAGCTGAAGGTGAAATCTCAGCAATGGGCTAGCTACAGAGGTTAGGGGTCACCACATAAGAGGCCTTTAACAGCAATGTTGCATGGCCACAGCTATTAGTTTCATTCTCTGCCCTTTCACCTGCTTGAAAGATCTGTTTTGTTAAAAACCAGGAGAAAGGAAGACATCTGTGTGCCCCAGAGTCACAACATAAAGTCATTTTCACAAAAGCAAGAGAGCAATCGACTTTATATCCTCTTGTTCAACAGATCTTTCAGTTTACCATTCATGGTCATTCTTGCGTTTTCCTCACATTGCCATACAGTGGAAACAGACTAAACATGAAAGTCCACTGGGGAGGAAATTATTCATCTCTAAGTTCGCTACAAATGGAGTCCATCACCTCAGCTCATTGTTGAACTAGAAAAACAGAACTCTAGTGACTGAAGGGGTAAAGAATGTTCCAGCTGAAGTCTGTAACATACTGCAGAATAGTTACGAAGGGAAATAATGACACAACTCCAAGTAGTGTAAATTAGACCTCTGGCAAGAACTAGCTCATATATTTGTTCAAATTGTCATACAAGTATTTCTATAGGTTACATAAATGAGAATCACCGAGGCCAAACAATCACTAAATGGTGTCAGATGAAGACAGAGCTTGACACCACCAGCTCACAATTACTAATGCCATTTTCTACTGGATATCTAATCCCCCTCTGGAAATTACTAAAAAAAATATTACAAAATGTCACAGCATTTTCCTTGTGGCAAAGAATTCCATATACACTGGAACTTCAGGTTACGTACCGTCCTCCTTACGAACACTTTGGGTAATGAGCTCTGCTAACCTGGAAGTAGATGTTCCTTGTTGTGGACTTTGCCCGGGATGCGAGCAGAAGTCGTGTGCCGGTGGCGCGCCGGCAGCAGAAGACCCCATTAGTGAAAGCACACCTCATGTTAAGAACGGTTTCGGGTTAAGAACGGACCTCCAGAATGAATTAAGTTCATAACCAGAGGTACCACTGTATAAGCTTTATACAGCCTTCCCACTTGGGGCAGAATTTGCTGATCCAGAGGGCTCTATATGGAAAATACTTTTTCTTTCATATTCTCCCCTTCCCACACCTATTTGCCTCTGAAAGTATTTTTGCCCAATTCCTGTAATTTCTTCCCGTTCTCTTTTCACACTCAGCTTGTACTTTGTATTCCTCCTCCCTTCAAATTTCCCTCCTCCTCTGTTGTCCTTTCACGTTCACTTCTTCCTAACTGCAACAGCTTTCCACTCTTATCAATATTCCTTTATATTCCCAATTTTATTTTTATTTATAATATTAACTTTTCACCTCACTTTCTAATTGCCTTCTCGCATGTCCTCTGGCCTTTATCCTTAGAAAGGAGACTTTCCTTCCTGTGTCATCCAAAACATCTGTCTCCTGCCTACTTTTACTCAGCATGAGTTGTTGGTACTTGCACTGGGTCCAACCACAAAGCTAAGGCACAACGAGGATGTACAAGGCAGGCTCTGGTACCAAGGCCCACCTGAAACTAGCCCAAGGCCCACTCGTGGGTCCCAATCCACCTTAGTCTGTTTTTACACATCTAACCTCCTCGCTTGACACCACTACTGTGTTTTTTTAAACACCTAGAGTTCAAAGGTCAGTTGGCAACCTGAGGCGGCTGTTTTGTGAGTGAAAAGCTGAGGAAAGGAATGCATACACACAAAAACAAACCCCTCTGGGTCACAGGGATATCGTTAACTCACTTTTCCTTGTGCTTCTTTCAGTTGTTTTTCAGCTGTCGCCTGCTTTATGTTTGCTTCCCTCACCATTTTGTGTGCTTCCTATAAGAACAAACATTTGCATGGTATATAAATGCTTTTGCATGGGTTTTCCTGCCACATGAAAACAGTAAGCTATGAAACGTGGCCTTTTTTTGTCTTTAAAAAGAATAGATAGAAGGGATAAGGTTTTGAAGTCACCCAACCGCACAGCTGCTTTTCACGTTGCTTCTGAAACTCTCAAGTGCACCGACAGGCGAGTCGCCCATACCTTAAAGATAAGCGACGGAAAGTGCTGGAAACATAATATTTGAGTCCGAGGTCCAATCAGAAGAGACAGCTACTTTGCAGTTTGATTGCCATTCAGAAGGCAACAATATAGCTGCTATTCCACCTAGGAAACCCGCCATTTATTTGGAGAAGCATGGCTTGGACAATTTCGACTACACAACAGCATTTACAGGCATGAGCACACACACACACACACACACACACACACACACACACCGGTGAATCTGCTGTCACCCCAACCGGTGAAGAAATTTGCTTCATTTTTAGCAGATGAGCTTACAAGAATAAACTACTTCCCAAACTTCCCATTTTTGAAGGTGGGGTGGGGTGAGGGGAGAAATTCAAGTACATCCTGAAATGGCAACCTCAATCCGAAGCGTGTTACCACAGAAAACTCTCCAAACAAACCTCAAAGAGGCTGGCAGTAAGTTCTTCCAATTCCTGTCCGAGTTGGTCGCGCACTTTAGAAAGCCTCTCGCATTCTTCATCTTTCAGTTTCAGCTCCTAAGAAAAAGAAATGGGTGTTGATTTTGAGAGTTATAATTTACGGCCTTTCCAACCCTGGGCAGAAGAGAGATGTTTGGACCAAACCAGACACGATACAGCAGCCATGTGCATTTTACTCACGCGTCTGCTTTGTTCACGTGGAAAAGGGCAGTGGCGTTACATGAAATGGAATACGCAGGCAAGAATGGGAGATTGAGTTCCTTTCTGCTCTTTTCTCCTGATGTGGGTCTCATACCAGAAGCCAGTTGTGCTGGAGACAAAAGTGCTTGAAGCAATGGGGCATAGCAAGGCAAGAGAGGAGAAACTATCGCTGCCCTTCTGCTCGTGTGCTCTACATTTTCAAAAGAAACAGGGTCCACTGCTTCTTATGGGTTGCCTTGTTGCCCATTGCTTGTCTTTTGCTGGAACAGAAACCTTGCTCCATACAAGCTCTTCATGGGAATTGCTACTGGTGCATAGCCAGTAGTTTCACCTTGATGATATGCTTTCAGGCAAAGTAGGAACTGCAGCAAAATAACCCTTGCCTCTCCCCAAAAGATGTCAAGAATGAACCAAAATGGAAACAATCCCTTCACCTTTTCATTTGCCAGTGTTAGTAAGTATACAGCACTAGGGGGCAGCCAATATTTAGAAGACACGCATGACAAGCTCACACAGAACAGAAAACAAAGAGTTATATCTCCAGGAGGGTAACAGGATACTTTCGGGATGATGGATAAGATTTGCAAAGGTTTACAAAGCTCACTCACAAACAACTCGGCAAAATTGCAAAGTAGCAAAGGGTTTCATTTTGAAAGCAAGGTGAGCTGAAAAGGCAGTTCCAAGGCCCGTTCCTTAGAAAGAGCCCCGTTTACGTGAATAGGGCTACTCTGGACTAAGCAGCTTGAAGATTGGGATGTGAGAAGTCTTGGCTTAAAGCAATGCTGACCTGGCCAAAACAAGAAAACAGAAACCAAGCAGAAGGATCGTTCCTTCTCTTTCATGACATCAATGCCTATATTGTACAGCATCTCCACAGGCTATGGCCATATGTGATTTATATGAGTGAAGGGAAAACCCAAGACTTGCATCACTTTTCAAACTAAAATCAGTCAACCTAAGTTCATTTTATAGATACAGAATTGAAGCCCTGAGATGTACGGATGAAGGACAATATACACATTTAACAACATCAGCATCATCAGCATCAGGATACTGAAGTGAAAATAATATTCATTTTAAAAGAGGTTGAATGATTAAGCTTGGCTAAATAAGCATATGTAATTAGCAAGAAAATTGGGGGGGGGGACTTTTAACAGCACTTTCTTAGAGGTCTGTTAGAAAATAAGAAAGAGTAATGATAGCTTTGCAAAATGCCCATTTGGCTATTCATAACTATGTATTTTAACACTTAAAGTATACTGTACCTGAAGGATAGTACTGTTAGAACCTGTATAAATCACTGAATTGGCAAATATTTGTAGTTTAAATTGCTTTACTATTCATAGGGAGGGGGTACAGGGCAATGAAACACTCTCCCTTGAACGATTGAAATTCATATTGACATTTTATCTCACAACCTTTGAAATTCCATCAAACGTTGCCCATGCAGCTTGAAGTCAGTCTTCATCATCAGAGACATGCCACTGTCATCCATGCACCTTCCACACTCAATTACTGCAGTGAACTTTATGGGGTCATATTACACCTATCTTACACCGATCTTACAGCATCTCTGTTACTTGCTAGACTGTTTCCAGGCCCGGTTAAAGGTACTTATAGCCTTAAGTGGGTCCAGGTCATGGAAAGTCTTTTGTAAGAAGTCCTAACTCTCCCTACCATATACACATGATGTTTTGTTCAGATGCAAGATTAGATTCTGCTAAGAGCAGAGCATATTCTGCAATCAACCCAATGAGAGGCTATTCCATATAGGCCTTGTTATTTGCCTCCTTTCAGAGGCAATCAATCACATTTTTATTCTTCTGGAATGTTAGAGTGGAAAACCACTTGATCAAGACTGAAATTTGAAGATCTGTCTGCTTCTATTTTAAATCTTTTACAAGTTTTATTTTTATGAAGCGCCTCATGAACAATTTTCAATATACCAATCACGTTAAGAGAATGAATAAATAAATAAAGGAAATATGGAAGTTTGCACGAACTCCAAGATTTTCAGGATGCTGAATTCTGCGCTCAACAGTAAACTGCACTTACACAGAACTGAAAAAAACATACCATATACATTAAACTTACCCTCTGAGCTTTAGCAAGTTCCTCTTTTAATCTTTCATAGCCCTTTTCTCTGACTTCCAAAACCGATGGGCTCCGTAGGCGAGACAGACTGTCTGTGCTCAGTCCCAAAACATCATCACTTCCTTCAGAGGAGTCTGTTATGGTTGCTCCCTGCAAAAATTCTCTCTCGGCATTGCTACTTGCCTTTCTGGAATTATCATATTTGGACGAAGCACCTTGGAGTCCCGAGGTAGAACAAGGAATGGTTTCTGTAACATTGATGCTGAAAGAAAAAGGCATACATATTTTAGCAATGTATACTGCTGCACATAAAGGATTATTATTAAAAAACAAAACACAGACGAACACATACACCAGAAAGCGACTTACAACAAAGCTTGCTTAGATCATCAAGAGAAGATTTTCACAACCAACCTGATACCTGATGCTTCTGCACAATTGAGGTGCCTAGGAGATGAATAGACGGGTTGTGTAGGAAGATCAGAGACGTTCAGGGCAGTCGGTTGAATTGGCGTGGAGCACACAGCTGAGGCATGAAGCCGGTAGATGACCGTGGGTGAGGTAGTTTGTTCAGAAGCACTAGATTCATACACTCCTAGAAGATCTGGAGTGGTGGGCGAGGCTAGATTCACTTCGTGAAAACCTTCCAGGGTGTCATTGGCCATAATAAAAGATTCATCATATGAAGTCCTAAAATGAGAATAATTTTTGAATTATTGCACGATGTCAGCTGTATTGCTTGTTTACCCGAGATGACCCTTAGGAAACGGAGAGGCAAACAGTGTGGCCAGATATGGCGACATTGGATGACACCTAACCAAGTCATACTTAGTAGTTCCACTGAAATAAATCACTTAAGCTATTGGGTGGTACCCAACTAAACAATTCCACTAGCGCAGGCGCTTTTAGCAGCAGAATGAAACTCTCCCCTCCCCGCACAACCCCTAAATCTGCTCTAGAGCAGTGTTTCCCATACTTGGGTCTCCAGCTGTTTTTGGACTACAAGTCCCATCATCCCTCACCAATGGTCTTGCTACCTAGGGATGATGGAAGCTGTAGTCCAAAAAAACAGCTGGAGACCCAAGTTTGGGAAACGCTGCTCTAGAGGGTTGAGGGGAAACCCAGACCAGATTTAGGGGGGTCACACTTACGTTTCATCTCTGTAACGCTCAGCAGCAGAATGGGGAAAGTTGTAGCATGTTGCTAACACAGCGAAAGGAAGGAGACAGACAGACAGTGAGGGAAGCAAATGTGCCCTCGCCGAAGTAACTATTGGTGTGGGGAATCAGCATGGGACAGTGGCTGAAGCAGACAGCTGAGAAACCCAGCTTCACATTCCCATTCAGATGTAAAGTCTAATGATGCCTACCTTTCAAGGGTACTATGATGTTAAGATGCTGCTCTGAGATGCTTAGAAAAAGGAGATGATAATAACACATACAGTCATACCTCGAGATGAATAAGCTTCAGCTTAAATATTTTCGGGTTGTGCTCCGCGGCGACCCGGAAGTAACGGAGTGCGTTACTTCCGGGTTTCGTCGCTCGCGCATGCACAGATGCTCAAAATGACGTCGCGCGCATGCGTGGAAGCGGCGAAACGCGACCCGTGCAGACGCATCTTATGTTCGCTTCAGGATGCGAACAGGGCTCCAGAATGGATCCCATTTGCATTCAGAGGTACCACTGTATAGGATACCATGGAATGATGGTAGGCTTAAACCAAAAATAGGAGAACCGCTGAATGATAGCTATGAGCTTTCAGATAATTTTATGCAGGTCAAATGGAGAAAGCTCCAACTATGGAAAAGATGTGTTTGCCGGGGGGTGTGGGTGGGAGGAAAGAGATTCTGCTGCTTACTAACATGAAGGTAAAAGCTTATTATCTATTTCAGTCATTGTATCCATTTTTTCCACAAGTATATTGCGGATTAGCTCTATTCAAAATGTTATTTTTGCTCCTATTGCATACTGCGCGCAGAAGTGGCGAGCAATAAATTGCTACCCTGACAACTGTACTCCAGCTTTTGACTGTCGAAGAAAATAACCCAAGAAACAGCCACACAAAAGAAACACTGTAATTTTCTGTGGAATGCGGCTTCATCTCCCAACTGCCAAAGTGTTCTGCCAAGAAACCCCCCACCAAGTCTGCGCAGTAAACAGCGACTTCCTGGTATTCCTACTGGTTTTCTAGAGGCACACACTCTGTCCAGTCTCCCTCCCATCTCATCTCAAATGGTTGCTTTGTAAGGAAGAAGAAAGCCTGAATATACAGCTTGCACAAACTTGCATAATACCTCCTTTTAAAAATGTAGTCTTCTACGGTTGTGCTTAACTAAACGCTCAGTTTCTGTACAACAGTAATACCACTTAAGCCAGGCATCCCCAACCTTTGGCCCTCCAGATGTTTTGGACTGCAATTCCCATCATCCCTGACCACTGGTCCTATTAGCTAGGGATCATGGGAATTGTAGGCCAAAACATCTGGAGAGCCACAGGTTGGGGGTGCCTGGCTTAAGCACACGGGGAGAAAAGTGTAGCTACACTTTCAGTTCTTGCCTACAGTGGATACGGTGCTCTCCCTTTTTCTTACGGCCTACATAAATGAGAATTAAAGCTTCTTTTAATGTTCACAGACACACAAATTACTTTTTGTAACCAAGTCTGAACCTCGTGGTTTTCTATATTGCCTACCCGAAAAGACCAATTTCCATGGATCACAAATCAAATATACAAAACTGATATAAGCTGGAAACTGAAGGACAATTTATCACCCTGAAAGTATGGTTGGCAAGGCAAAACTGCTGCAAACACAACAGCTCAAAAATCACTGTGTTTCTGCAAGTATCGTGCATGTTGTGGTTTAGAGGGAAATATTCAAAAGACTTCTCCATCTCGTAATAAATATTCAATTCATTCCTCTGTCATGAATGGTATGAGCCTTGCTGAAATGTAGGGATAGCAAATGTAGGTCCCTCCAGATGTTGCGGAGCCCCAAGACCCCTACCATTGGTAATGCTGGCTGGGGCTGGTGAAATATAAACCAACAACATCTGTTGTTGGCTAGCCAAGTTGGCTACCTCTGCTGTAATGAATGAATCTTTATTTGCGCCAGCCATCGGCCATAGCAATAAAACAAGAATGTGATATACAAAGAATCGAAATAAAAAGTCAATTATATAAAATACATTTTAGGGTTTTGAATCAATAGTCAAATAGTGGATCTTATTCTGATTGCCCCAGCTAAAAACCTTGCAACCTTTGCTGTCACCTGCTCATCTTGATCTGCCAACAGAAAGGATACTGCGGCAGTGGTTGGGCGACCCGGAATGGACAATAAAAGATATTCTCATTCCTCAAATTTTTATAAAGAGTGCAAGCCAGGAGAGCATGCGCCACCGATTCGGTACTGCCATCTCCACAGTATCTATTGGAATCATCCCTCAAGTACAGCTGAGGGGAATACATTCAATCTTGCGAGAGTAAAAGTGCATCTATATTTTAGAATTGCTAGGTTATGCAGATAGGGTGCCAGAGATTCGAAATGGGAAGGTGTAATCAAATCAGTAGCGTGGGTCAGAAAAAAATTCAGTGCTTTTATTTTCTCAAAGATAGATAGGTAGATAGATGTTTATTTCATAAACTCATTAGTAACAATGACTGGATGACAGTTACAAATATGGTCTTTGGGAGGTTTGGCAATATCAAATTTTTAGCTTTGTTTATTAAATATAAGTGAAACAAACATTCTAAGTTAGATCATTCTCTAGGGCAGAGCTTTCCACACTTTTCAGGTTGGTGAAACACTTTTTAGACATACATCACTTCGCGACATAGTAATTCAGTTTTACTAGCAAACCACAGAGGTTAAACTAACCCCTTTCCAGCCCCGGGAGGAGAGCAGGGAGTGTTTGTGTGACACACCTACACAGTGCAGCCAACACACTAACGTGTCACGACACATAGCTTGGAAAGCTCTGTTCTAGGGCATCTGAACATTTTCCGAAGCAAAGAACCCCAATTTGGATAGGAAGATTTTCCAGAATTATTTTTAGAATGTCCACAGCTAACCAGAAGACATAACTTGACCATACCGTGCTTTTCTTCATTACTCAATATTTACAGTAGAATCTGATGTACTTTGACTCAGTGTGTTTGACCAGGCTTAATCCCTAAAAATCGTCTTATGAACATCTTTAATAATAACAACTATATAAAGATCATGAGGGTCAAAGCTTCCCAAGGCACTGCATTGCTAAATCTTTGTTTTATATAGTCAGTAATCCAAACCCCCAAGGGAGCTGGTTGTTACCTGATGCAACTCCTGAACTCCCTTCCCCCACCAAGCAGATATTGAGGCTTGAGGGTTTTTAGCAAGACAGGCAGCTGCATTCAGACAAAGGATTTGGAATGCACGTAATTGACACTGAAGAGGATATAAACAAATTGCAGTAAATAATTTAATGTTTCTAGAGACAGCATTGCACAAAAACCTCTGTTCGTATTTTACAGCTAAGCATTGTCTTAGAATTCAACTGTTAGGAAAAAGAAATGGCGAGGGAAGAGATTACTCCAGAAACTATTGTAGCAGGATGGTTCAAGTAGTGCAGATATAGCTCAGTTCCAGGAACAGGCATCTTAAGATATTCATTTTACCTCCAGAAGCAAAAATGAAAAAAGCAACATGCTATCATTAAGAGCAATGACAAACCTAGACAGCATCTTAAAAAGCAGACCAAGTTCCGTATAGTTAAAGCTATGGTTTTCCCAGTAGTGATGAGTGATTTCCCAGAAGTGAGAGCTGGACCATAAAGAAGGCTGTTCGCCAAAGAATTGATGCTTTTGAATTATGGTGCTGGAGGAGACTCTGAGAGTCCCATGGACTGCAAGAAGATCAAACCTATCCATTCTGAAGGAAATCAGCCCTGAGTGCTCACTGGAAGGACAGATCCTGAAGCTGAGGCTCCAATACTTTGGCCACCTCATGAGAAGAGAAGACTCCCTGGAAAAGACCCTGATGTTGGGAAAGATGGAGGGAACAAGGAGAAGGGGACGACAGAGGATGAGATGGTTGGACAGTGTTCTCGAAGCTACCAGCATGAGTTTGACCAAACTGCAGGAGGCAGTGGAAAACAGGAGTGCCTGGCGTGCTCTGGTCCATGGGGTCACGAAGAGTTGGACATGACTAAACGACTAAACAAATCATTAAGCTGTTTTGGATATCACAATGATTATCCACAGTTTGGTGTGTTTAACAGTGGTTTGTTTGGAATAAACCGACTTCAGAGACATGGGTGATAAAGCTGGCTTGTCTCAAACAAAACAATTCATTCAATTGGGATAAAACACTAAACTATGGCTAACAAAAAATGGAAACTTTTGATCACCTCCTCAAAGTCATGCCAGAGACAGAAAAGGGAGGGGGAGCATGCAAGCCCCCAAGTCTTGTTCCGGCCAACTATGGTTGAGCATGACTTCCCAAGTGGCCAATTTACATACAATTTGATCTTAGCATTTGGCATTGTTCTAGTCTGGAAATGTCCTTGTCTTCATTGTGAAAAGATGAATTAGTCAAGTACAAATGAGAACAGCAACAAAACTCCTGCTCATTCAAGTAACGCCCTCTTCCAGGATACTCCAATCCATTCAATGCCACCCCCTTTTCCAT